TATATTTTAAAAGTAAGGTAATATAATAAAGAATATAGAAAGTGATATTATCTATTTCTAGTTATAGGGCGTCTTTGTATGAGTCTAAATAGAATTTGTACTGTATAGAATTGAAGTATCTACTAATAAATATATATATAGATTATTCGGGAATAATTCTATCGATAAATATACAATCAGTATACAATTGGTTAACTGTATATATATTGTTTAACCGGGAATAGATTTTTCTGCACGGGTTTAAAGCAGCTGCAAGATAGTTAATTGATTATACAAGGAAAAGGGGAGACAAGAGACAGGCAACGCGGGTGCGGATAGATTGCCACGTACTTCCGGCGCCGGATGCGATATGTACATACATGTCCCAGGTACTAGGGTGTAAGGCCAGTATCTGACCCTCTAGAGAGAAGGCCATAGAGCTGACCTAAATTGAATAGCCCTTAAGGGCCTGAAGTTGTTTGCCGGACTTAGTATCCCACAGCTGGACAGTTCCATCATGGGAGCCCGAGGCCAGCATCTGGCCATCTGGAGAGAAGGCCACAGTGCTGACCCAACGTGTATGGCCCACAAGGGTCTGGAGCCTTTTGCCAGACTTAGTATCCCATAGCTGGACGGTTCTACCTAGGGAGCCTGCGGCCAGCATCTGACTGTCTGGTGAGAAGACCATAGTAATAACTGGACTTAAATGGCACTGGAGGATCTGGAGTTGTTTGCCGGAATTAGTATCCCACAGACGGACAGTTCCATCACGGGAGGCTGAGGCCAGTATCTGGCCATCTGGAGAGAAGGCCACAGTGCTGACCCAACCTGAATGGTCCTTAAAGATCTGGCGCTGACTGCCGGACTTAGTATTCAACAGCCGGACAGTTTTATCACCGGAGCCTGAGGCCAGCATCTGACTGTCTGGTGAGAAGACCATAGTAATAACTGGACTTAAATGGCACTGGAGGGTGTGGAAATATTTTCCAGATTCAATATCCCGTAGCAGGATATTTCCATCAAAGGAGCCTAAGGCCAGTATCTGGCCGTCTGGTGAGAAGGCCACAGTTGTAACCTTACGTAAATAGCTCTCAAGGATGAGACCTTTTCCAGACTTGGCATCCCGCAGCTGGATGGTTTGATCATGGGAGCCTGAGGCCCGTATCTGGCCGTCTGGTGAGAAGGCTACAGTCCTGACCTTATCTGAATGGCCCTCAACGGTCTGAAGGCGCGTATCCCATGAATTCGTAGTTCCTGGTAACATGGTAATTCCTCTTATAGGTGTAAGTTGGATGGTTTTCATTATTGACTTCTCAGCAGCAAAAGCAATTGCAGAATAATAAATCTGTAACGGGGCAGAGCAAGCCATATTTCTGAGGATGAGTCGCCGCGCATCATGTAAAAACTCCGAGATTTCTAAATTTGAGATCTGTATCCTAAATATTATTGTTCAGCAATTTACTAGATTAGGGCAGGGTTTACCTTTGTCAACAAGTTTAGGATACCTATGGCATCACATATTCGTCCCATTATACTCACTGCTTCCAGCCAGTGAAGGAAATGCTGTTCCAGAAAGCTTATTACTTCGTCACTGGCAAGCTCGTTACTTTGCACCAGATGATATGCCCAATGGTAACACGAGTATTGCAAGTGTTTGGGCAGACACTGGTGAACTATCTGGTCCTTGATGTCCTTGAACTCACTTGCATTGCTTGGCAAGCCACAAATATTCTCTTTCAGCAAACTGTTCATGATGTATAAACATCGGTCAGCTATTATTTTGTGCATTTCGTTCTTCTCTACCCGAAGGGCTGTTTTCGTGTGGAGGAGAAAGTATCGGAAACGTAAATGCAAAAATTGGATGAGAGCGTTAGGATCTGTTGGCAGATGAAGGACTGGGTGAAGTGACTGCAGTGAGACTAGTGGATCAAGTATATCACTCATAGGTATACCGAGGAAACTTGCAAGTGTATCAACTGAGATAGGAGCCTGAAGAGTGATAATAGCTCCAACTATGTCCCGGAACTTTTGAACATGTACCTTTGACTCCAAACCAGACCTATCAAGCAGGAGTCCTAACACCACTAAGTGCATATTCTCAGCCGCCCAGGAGGGCGGTGTTCGACCGTATTGGCAATCCCTGGATTGCACATTGGCATCCTTCGCGAGCAAGACCTTAACCACTGCCGCGTGGCCATTGCCGGATGCCCATGAGAGCAGGGTTCGACCATGTTCATTATCCCTAGACTCCACATCGACACCTTGCTCAAGCAGCATTCTCACTACCGGTTCATGTCCTTTCTTCACAGCTGAAAGTAGTAACCTTTTTTGCATATCATCTTTTGACTCCAGCTGAGTTCTTTCTCTTGTGAAAAGCTCTAATAAGTGACGACGGTCGCTTAAGATGGCATAGTAAAGCGGTGTCCCTCCAATATCATCAGCCAGATTAATGTCAGATCCAGCCATAAACAGTACACGAGCTGCTTCCTCATAACCATTCAAGATTGCCCATGACAGCGGAGTCCGGTTATGCTTATCTCCTAAGTCAACAAACGCCCTTGCTTGGAAGAATCTTTTCCAAGACCTTTCGGTCAAGAGCTTCACAATAGCAATATGGCCATTCCCTGCTGCCCAAGAAAGCGCAGACCGTCCGTAAACATGATCCCTGGCGTCAACGTCAATTCCGTCAGTTTCCGTCCAGTGTTTGGTGATGGGTGTAAGCCCAAAATATGATGTAACCATGAGAGTGGTGAAACCAGTTGGGAACTTCGCGTTTAAAGAAGCCCAATAGATTTGAAGCCAGGTTTGACAGCGCTTTGTGCTTGCATCACAAATTATATTAAGGTCTGGTAGCATGTCCTCTAGTTGGAGTTTTGACTCCAATAGATGAGTTGTCCAATATGTAGCAGAGTAGTCCAGGAAGACAGAATGATCGCGACTGGGTCCGATCTCAGCAGATGATGGAGTCTTCTCAAAATCAGTGAAAAGCAGATGTTGGATGCAGATATTGGCAAGAAGGCAGTGTGAATCTTGCAATCGAAGAGAATGTCTCCATTTAGATGACTGATTAATATCATCAACCATCCCCTCCCGAGCGACCAGAAACTCCCTTGCTGTTTGGTGGAGGAGATAAATTTTGGAATCAACAATCATAATAAAGAGCCCACATATAGACCGGATCCCTTCCTGAAAACGGTTCTCCGGTTCGAGAGTGAGGTTGGTATAAGAATGTTGACCCTTCTCTAGAGCCAGCGCGAGATTCATTTCCTTGAGGCTTACGGGCCGTAGGGCTCCAACCACAATGTAAAGTAGTTTCTTGGCTTTTTGAAAGTCCGTACTCCTGGCCAGGATTCGTTCATATGCCTCATCAACAGTCTGTGGGAGATGAGAAGTAGCCTCAACAATTCCTCTTTCGTCAATATAGTCCTTATTCTGGACCAAGTCCCCCAAAGTAAGGTAGACCCAGAGATATGTCCTATGAGTGACACGCGTCAGGTTTTCAAGCAACGTGTCGCGCTCACTATCTGTGAGTTGTAGTCGATCTTGTACGTCATTGACTTTAGCTTCAATGAAAATATCAATCTCTTGAGAAATCTTCTTCGTTTCAACATCGCTTTCGCCACTAAGATGTATAACAGGCTGTCCAGGTATATTAAGAGGTTGAAAGCCCTGTCGGATGTGACTGTAAGGGCGACTAGTAATTAGGAATTTGAGGTTGAAATTCTGTTGGCTCTCATCTTTATAAAGCGTGCGCAAAGCTTCCATAAATTGGGAACATCCATGTTGTTCACATTCGTCCAAGGCGTCCAAAAGAAAAACGATCTCCCCAGTATTTTCCTCACTGGTAACTTTGATCAGAATGTTCCAGAGCTCACTGAATGAGCTGGTGACCCTTTCATTCATTTCAAATCGTTCAAGTATGGTTTCAGTCAGCAGGTCACGCTTCTGGTCAAAGAGCTGATGAAGTATACAGCATAGCGCATTTGTGATACTCTTTTGATCATCAAAGTCATCTTTGAAAAAGAAATATCCAACTGCTCGAGACAAACCGTGCGTGAGAACAGAATCTGCGAGATATTTGGCAAGGACAGACTTGCCACATCCAGGATTTGCAGAGACCCAAAGCATTCGTGATGTTTTACTTGATTCCCAGTCTTGAAAGATCGGATGTGAGATGAACCATTCACAAGTTCCAGGTATTCGGTCAGGGTTCCGGTTCTTTTGGTCTTGATACAGCGACACGTAGAGTTTCTTCAGAGCAGCTATCCGTCTACTTTTCAGTGTTTCGTTCTGTTGAGCTAATGCGTGATTTCTGTGGCTGATATTGTCTTGAGACGGGACAACTGTCAGAAGGAGCCGAGAATAAGTAGCAGCGGCAAGCGCTGCGTATCCCTGCCATTCTTTATTCTTATGGGAGTCGCAGTAGTCACAAATGCCTCGGATCACTAAGCAAGGGAGCTGATCCATGAGTCCAGCTGCCTCCATTTCAAAGCAGAAAACGTTCAAGTCTTGGGCAAGAGAGTCTCGTATTTTTGCGTCCCTCATAACTCGATTTGCAGACGCCACCAGACCGTAATGAATATGAGGCTCGGAAGAGTTTCGGGACGCTCGTCTCACTAACTGGGTCTGGTCACATTCCAAGCAATCAGGATGATTACTCGCATGTATGTATTCTGCATTAAAAAGCCAGTCCTTCTGAGGTCGTGAGAAATTCTGTCTTAGCCTCTCATTTGTGTTCAGTATACGAGAGATAGTACCGTCAATATCTGCCTCCGTAATCATATATTCGCTGCGCACTTTGGACACGGCGTTGAGTAATAGCTGAGGGGGCTTGTTGAGCGAGCTGGTACGTTGGAAACGTCCATCGGGCAGTGTCTTCCCAAAATCATATTGCACCACACCTCCATAAGTACCTGATGGCATGCTAACTACCACATCCCCAAGACGAACATCGGTGCTTTTGTGGGGTACACCACCTGCAATCCCCACCATCAAGGCAAATTTTAGAGAAAAGAATGTTGAATGCATCTTAGCTATGACAGCTGTAGCAGATGTAGTCCCATAAACACCTGAGGGCAGGCAGGCGATAACGACATTGTGTTCCCCCAGTTTGCCAAGTGTATAGGCGTTAGGATCGGTTGGAGGTTGGGGGAGGAGCTCATGAATCTCCTCGAGCATGAGTTTCGCAGCTGTCATCTCCAGTGGCAACGCGCAAACCCAGCCAACGGTGTAGTCGTGATGAGAAAGTTTCATGGCCGCCATTTTCCCACCGCGGTATCGCAGATTATACCAAACAGGGAAACTTTGTCCTACGATATTTCATAACTGAATACCAGACTTCTGGCGACCACATGATCGCGGAATTTTATTTATTTTTTATTTTTTTTTTGGCAAGAGAAACACAGAACTTCAAGTCGATTGAACGCAAGGCCGGAAAGGCAATCAGCTATTTTGTGGGATGAGCGCGAGGCTGTCTACTAGTTATAAGCTGGCGCTGCGGACTGACCAGGGTATGTGACGAATGATATTCTCAGCATGGCCCCAACCTCCAATCCCTTCCGAGTTAAGCAACACTTGTCCACATTGCCATGTTGAACATGGTGGAATTGTATAATTGTCTGTTCTAGGCATAGAAATTGAGTTAGGGGATACATCTATGGTGACCTCGTAACGCAGCTCTCACAAGGTTCCTTCCACGAAGTGGAGGCAAGTGTTTTTCCCAATATGTCAGCCATAGACTAACAACGTCTTGTTACCGGCTTGGCACAGGGTGTTTTGAGGGGAATTGAGCTCACCAGTCCTTTACTAGTCTCTCTGTACCCCGCTCTCTGTCTAGTTTGCATAATCGCTCCGACAGTCGGAGTCCGACTGACTGTCCGACAAACCGTTGTGTGTGGTAAGTGGCAGGACGTACCCGCTCGTCTGAGGGTAATATACAGCCTAATAAGACGCAATATTCCCAGCAGGATTGCTCAAACAATCACAAAGACCGGGGCCCACAAGATGTATGATACGTACACCCAAAAATAATAGTTGTGTTGAAATCACGTGGTATTACTCGCTGGTTGTGAATGAGGCCAGGTGTTCTCCTTCCAAAATCACGGAAACGATTAATACCTCACTTACCCTGCAATGAAGATGGCGCCAAACCTTCCTGCTTGGAAGCTTAGGCTTGATTCTGGCATGATAACCCACACCCTCTTTAGGTGATTATGTTATCACTGATACTGCTCGACGCACCACCATTCGATCAGTAGCTCGTATCTGCTCAAAAATGAGGTGTTATGGCAGTGCCAGCGCTCCTTTGACAAGGGGCGGGCCCCAAACGAACCTTTACACCACTAGCGTCAAAGGCACTTCGTACATATCTATAAGAACACCCTCATTTGTATCTGGACGAGATGGCAACCTTCCTGCTTCAGAAACTCATCTCCGTCACACCTAGAACCCTCGGCAGGGAACTTGCCTATCATGGGTGGTCTAAGAAGGTAATCCGACGGCTTTCGAACAAGTGGGATGCTGACCTGCGGGACTTCTATCTTTATAAGCTCTCCCAATTTCGTTCCTATCACCTTATATATCTGGATGAGTCAGGTTGTGATAAGCGTGGGTCGTCTCCACTTAGTATAACTCCTATCCAAGTATCCGAGTTACTGCGGGGACGGCGGTATCAGATTTTACCGGCATATGCACTCTTTCCTCTACTTTCTTTTTCTTTAAATGGTGGTGGGGCAGAAGAGGATCAACTGTCTCCTAAAGAGTAGATTGTAATGATACACCTTGGTCTTTTTACCAGCAGGGAACAATTCCCCCCATTGGAGGAGCCGATCCTCTACAGATGACCAATCGATCTCAGTCTTCTCAAACCTTTAGTGAGGTCATGTTCAGAGCGCTGGTAGCGGGAAAATTTCTGACTGGCAACCCTGGTCATGGTGGTGTGAGAGCCACGGTTTGCTATTGAGTCCTACCAATATTAGTATCTCCGTCCATCTTCAAATGGCACCAGCAACTAGCTGCATTACGATGATTGTCGGTAGGAGCAGGATTCCACGCAGGCTTAGCTCCCCGTGCGATGAAAAAATGCAACCTATGGGATGCACCTGGCCAACCCAATATCGTATTAGCCAAGGCACCAGCTCATGTTCGTCAATATACCAGAATTGAATGCGGCTTTTTAGTAGAAATGACAGTATACTACACCTCCTATTTTGAAGTTATTTTGGAGAGAAGAAGATGACACCTTTGCCAAAATCTCTACTCCGGAGAAGATAGGTCTCTGCCCTTTGTTGCCATTTGCTTTGCTTGCAGCGAACCATCCAGAAACTCGCATATAAAGTTTTGTTTGATACAGGCCATAAGATACAATAAGTACTAGCCAATCCAAATACGTACTAGATCCCGAATGTAGCGCCGAATAAAAAGGGCGGGAATATGAAAACATTTAAAGCCATGCTTGTCGATCAGTGTATACAGATGCAGGTGAAATCACCTTCCATGTTTTGCATATAGAGATCTGTTTTCAGCCCACTTCCTTTTCCTCGTAACACAGGTGGACCTAGGTTCCGCTATAGAATGTCTGTTGAAGAAGTGGCGGCGGAGGTCAGACATATCAGAATATTGCCTTCCATTACAGCAAGGGTGAGGGCACGAAACATTTCCTTCGGGGGGCAAACTCTCAAGGTGTCTGTCAATATGGTTTAACAATGTGGCCTTCTTGACCCACTGTTGGAACCGCTCGTCCGCTCTCTTTTTCTCATCACCCAGACAGAATGGACATAGACCCGCTACAACTAGCGTATAGCGGAAGGTTAAGAGCCCGCACCTCGGCTGTAGAGCCTGCAGGTGAGATTGGCAACGGTTGATCCAATCTCCTTCGTTGCAAATTAATTCAGCACACAAATAACAGAATTGAACGAAGCTTCGACGGGTACGGCGATGGGCACGTTTGCCGTTCCTGTAGGTCTGCTGGTAAGGTGTCGCATTCAACGATTTGCGTTTGCACTGCAAAATATGCTTTGACCGTTCTTGGAGACCAATGCTGGCTAACATTAGCAATAGAAAGCGACTACCACAAAAAAAAAAAGAAAAGAAAAGAAATAAGAAAGCACACGCAAACCTTGACATCTGTTTGGCCCATATTGGACATGTTCCCTTTACGGGAGTCATACCCAGATAATATACCACCTTCTCGACTGAAGTACGAAGACTAACTGCATCACATAAACATTGCCTCCCAAGATCACCATCAAGAGGCACTTGCTTGAAAATATTGTCATATAAACGTGCTCTTTCAGGCATATATTTACAGTAAATTTGAAAAAGGCAAGTAGTGTCACGTCCCAAAAAGTCGTTGCCAGTAATGTACTCGTCGTAGCAAACATTCCACCAATTTTCAATGAATTCAGAACGTTTACCGCGGATCTTTTCGGCTTTCTTAGTACAAAGTTTAGATCTCTCTGATACCAAGTAGACATGTTTATCAGACCGGCCACGAATCCTCTGCATCAGTTCACTGATCTGTTGGTTAATCAGAATCACTTCCTCATCTTTTTCAAACTCTGCGAGAGAGGCAGCATCAAGTCGAAGCAGAACATTTTGATCACGGTGGTGGGCCATACTCTGTTCCATTTCACGACATCCATAATCTGGATTCAAGTCATAGTACAGAGCCATCATATCTACTGCTTTGAGCGATAACTGGTATCTCAAGTATAAGTCATGCTCCATATAATCTAACGCCTGGCCGCGGGTTGCGGCTATTGCCTTGGCTAAGCAGAAAAATTAGTTAGCATTATGTTCCACCAAAAATTGATGTACACCTTACGATCGATTTTGTTTACTACAGCACCCCGGATTCCATGCACTTGTAAGCGGTCTCTGAAGCCATCCCGTTCAGCCGAACTAGTGAGATGGCGACGCAACGAAGAGAATGCCCACGCTTCGTTTGCTTTGGGACCCTGGGAAGTAGTCATTCGAAAGAAAGGTAACTCTTACACATCCTCTTTCCACTCGAGGATCCACGACTCTCTTCCTTTTGGGGGTTGTTTTTCGAGCAATTCTTCGATGGTTGACGTAGTCCTTTAAGAAACTCAGGGTCAATCACGACCCAGCGTTTCAACTCACCAGCGTCTCCACTCCATTTTATATTGAAAGTGAAATGCTGCAATAGAAGTCAGAAAGAATCGTCACACACGAGATATATACTAATTACCTTATAGTAGAGACATTCATTTATTTTAATATACAAGCTTTATTCAGCAATAGCACCAGCTCTAGCAGCAGAACCAGAAAAGAGAGCCAGTGAGCTTGCAGTCTATACTCTTGCACACTCGTGTACATAATCATAGTCGTCTTCACCAAATAAATAGTAAAGAAGATAATCTATATCTTTCACTGTCACCAAGAACCGCTCTCTAGGCTTAATAGAAAGACTGCGTTTTTCTGTTAACACAGTCCGGATATACTACCTATAATTAGTCGCCCCAGTAATAAATATAAGAACATGAGCAGCCCATACATTTAGAATATCCTTTTTTAAATCCAAGGAAAGCGTTCGCGACGTTTTATACTCCCACGTAGAGATGAAATAAGTAAAATTATTATAGAGTAACTTCTGAGAGAACTTTATCTTTCAAAAAACAACAGAACTTCCTATAAATAGTTTTCATTCTTGTAGTATCTAATCTGGATCTTCTCTAATAAGATTTATATCCTTGGATTCGCTCCGAGAGAGCCTCTACTTAATCTATATTAGCTTCTGCTATCTCAATACTAATATATTATAATAGTAAAATTGGCTTACAGCACCCAGTTAATAACCGCTTATTTATACTTCTCCTCCGTGATTGGAGCAATTCAAAAATAATATACAGTATTCTGAATCTTTTCCTGTTCCTGTTGATACTCTGGGATAAATCCACATAACTCGACTAGTCTCTTGCACTCTTCTGGTAACTTTTCAAGATACTTATTCGAAAATATAGTTATATAATATCACGTGCTAGTATAGATAAAGAAAGACAGATATATTTAGAATAAAACAAGAAAAGATTTCTTTAAAAGACACAAAATATATTTTCTATATCTTGAAATCCCGTGTCTCTCTAATTTTGATACAAAAGATTATTGTAGATAGCTCTATTGTTAACTGTATCACCTCTGATAAGTAGGAATCACCGCTGATAATAGCCGCATATAGGACACTTACCCCAATCACCAGTACTCACCCTAAGTCGATAGTCACCATTGTTTCAGCTTTTTAAAGGGCTAAAGGCCATTATACTTACTGACCACGCGTAATATATGACTTAAGTACAGCTGAGCGGACGGGAAGCCCTGTTCTCCACACCCTATGGTTGTATGTGTTGACTTTATAACTGGAAAGATATCTATCGAGCTGGGGGTAGAAAAAAGAAATAATTCCATGTCCCAGTGGGGATCATATATCACGATCTACGTATCAAATCTGTATATGAACCAGCTTTGAACTGACATAGTTGTAGCCATCTATAATGCTCTGTTTCATATCACGGACAACGCGGATGTTGCTGTCAACAGTAACAACCGACGCATCAACCTGTTCCGGCTGCTAGCTGCAGGCAGTTCGGTTGAGCCCTTTAGCCCCTGAGCATCTCTGGGCTTAGTTTGCAATACAGTGTAGGGTGTACGAATTGCCAACATGGTCAAGGCTCATTATTCTATCTAGTGATGGTCTATGGTGATTTTAGTGCAGGATATATACAGATACGCCATTTCCCAAACATGCGCCCAGCACATCCCCAACGCTCTGATTTTGCCGACCGCGGAGTTTTTATGCAGCCAAAAGAGCTTCCCCAAAGGGCCCTATTATATATCCCATCAGAACCATAAAAACGAGGCCGAGAGCAGGCCTCGAAAGCTGATGTGGGGCCATGGACTGTCCGCCCTTGTCGTTGTGAAACTCGGCTACTTTCTTGACACCGCGCTCTTCCAAGCAGGAAGTGACATTGCTTTGATTGCCATATGTGCTGCAGAAGCGGAAGCATGTCTTCTTGTAGAGTGTGATCTGGTTTGTCTCCCCGCAGCACGCCTGATGAGCGAGGAGGTATTTGTGATCGTTTGGGAATGCAACGACGTCGGTCGAGTTCCAGAGACCAACCGGTGGTGTACTGACGGTTGTAGGACACTTGTTCGTCATGATTGAGATACGTTGTGGTAGACTTTAGATCGTGGTAGGGATTGAAACGTGAGTATAAGTAGATTTTCCTGTTGTTGGACGAGCTTCAGCTCGATATCCACGCCAAAGATGGTTATGGCTCGAAAGTGAGGTTTTGGGTCGGGAGGAGGCACTCTTTCTTGTTGGTAGAAAGAACTCTGAAGTGGGGTGGCACAGCCATATTTATCTTCCTCACATCCGGTTCAATAATTCACAACTATTACAATGTGCAGCCCAGGGACGCAGCCAGCAATGGTGGATGCGATGAGGCTCGTTTTGGCCCCCAGACCGTAGCTTGGGGGCTGTGATTCCGAAGCCCTATGATGACTCTCAACTGCTCTGCCGATCCTCATTTCACCCCCATCGGCTTCGCTGTGGGTCTATCAATAGTAGTGAGAGCTTCTTAGCGTCAGTCTTCGCTCATTATTTTGTTTACTAGCCGAACTCAGCCACTGATATTCATACCCCATCGAGCACAAGCTGTTGTCATCGAGTGCCACACCATGAGGCTTAGATATCTATATCCACATTAGCTATGCATTCATGCGCAATGTAAATTAGAATCTTACTGGTTGCTTGTTCCTGATATCGGTGGGCCTTGTTCTGAGGCTCTGCTGGCTAAGACACATCATGCTTTGGGGATCCTGCATGGCGCCAGGATGTTAGTTGCGTCTCTGTGCACAGTTTAGGGGCCACTAAGAACGAGACCAAGCCGAATACGTTCGCTAGATACCACCCTGTCCGTTCTCTCCTGTGCCACCTTTTTACTTTTCAGCTAATAGTGGGAACGCCACGAAGGCTTTCTAGCTTGCTAGGACTGTCATTGGCTAGGTACGTGGTTTAGTGATCTACTAGAGATGTTTTCTTGCGTAATACTTGTGGTTACTCCTAGTAGAGTACTGACTCATGTCTTTGGCAATCTTGACTGACAACTTCCTTACGCATATATTACAATAAAGGATGATCACTATGTACAGTACAACACAGCGAGTGGATATGACAAGTCACTAATGTGATTTCGGCTCCTAGATACGCGATCAAATCAAATCACCCAAATGCAACTGTTAGAACTGAACCCTCTAGTTAATATAGTGCATCTCTACCATTCACGGTCGCACCTCCGCTTTCAGTGTTCCGAATCCAATTCGAGGATGATAGTTGGGCACCGCAGTAGCTCCAAAGTCCCACACAGTATAGAACTGTTGCAGCAAAGGCGTGCCGAGAAGGGCGAAATCATTGCTCCCGCTGTCATCGAAGGGTGGATTGCATGCGTCCTTCCTGTCGGCAAATCCAGGGTGGGCCAATTGATCGCCGGTTAAAGTCAATTTGGGGTCGGTTTCGGAGTCCCCGAAATGGAAAGTGACCGACCAGCTCGAGTTGAAGTCCCTGCACAGAGGTATATAGCCGTCTTGACTAATGGCTGTCCAGTTCATGCCAATTGAGGTGTAAAGCTCTGCAATGGTATTGGACGGTACCTGTAATGCTCCGGCCCCCGTGTCGAACACTGCTCTACCTCCATTAAGCTTACTGGTGGCTTGCCTTTTGCCTCTATTGCTTGATCCAGCAATCGATGTGAGCGTGGCGCGCCACACCTGGTACTCCTTTTCCGATGCCAATGGAACATATGTCAAGTCGCCATCGGCATACTGCTCCTCCTTCGAGCCGCCGATGGTAAAAACACCTTCCGGGTTTGCTCCGGTATCGTCGAACTCTTTGCCATAGTAGATCGCAAACCGGGGCTCGTCAAGGTGACCCTGCTGCATAAGCGTCTCAACGACCGTCGTGGTGTTCGCGACAGCAATAGTGCTAAAGGCTAACCCCAAGAACCCATCCGCGGAGATGAATCGCCAGGAAGTCCCATTCGCAGCTAGGAATGTCTGGTTCCACGTCAAGGCGGCATCCCCTTGGGCCCCAGCCGGGAGGCTGAATGTATCGGCTACTCCTGGGCCGGCGGTCTTGCCTCCAAAGTAATCAATACTTCCATAAGCTCCTAGACGCGTGCCAGTCGAAGAGGCGGAAATGTTGTAACCTTTCCGGTCAAACCTGGTCTGGTTAGCTTTGTTGCTTGGAAACATGCAGGTTATTTAATCCATGGAGGTTGTACCCGCTGCCGTTTGGACAAGTTGTTGCGCAGTTCTGGTCAACCACCCATGTGGAAGATGAGCCAGTATCAAAATGGAGGAAATGTGCTTGAGCAGGTGTCCCGATATCTACTTCCACTGATGCCTAGAAACATCAGTTCTGTTAGCATATGCTGAGTACACGAGATCAGGGTGTCGGCCTACATAGCTATTGCGAAAGTGAATTGGCAGATCAACAGTTGTACACCATGCCGATGGTAGGATTGCTGCTATCATGGCAATCCGATGTGAATATCGTGCCATTGCGACTCGTATTAATGCTCGTTGACAATAAACTTGCGGATGATCATATATTTTCAAAGGCTAACGGAGAGATAGATGGAGTTACCGATGCAAGAAATAACTACATTCCCTGTGCCGACATCTGGACCAACAACCCGAATTTATATCCATCCCGTCGCAAGGGTAATTGCGCCTTCTTGCCTCCTCTGCTAGATACCAGCCATGAGGTAAAAACAGACCATCCACTCAGGAGAGCAATCCAGACGCCATCGCTACGAAAAGCGGGAAAACGGGATTTGAAGCTGTCGCAATAGGCTGGCCACCAAACACCATCATGAATCTGAAACATAGCGTCGGGCCGGAAGGGTCTATCCCCGGGGAGAAGTCGCGTTCATTGAATCTACCAAACCGTGTCCTCTCGGGCCGCTTTTTATATGGGTCATATATGGAATCTGGAGCGTCGATCGCTGGAGAACACGAACGCGATAAGCATGTGGTGAACGAATTAAGCTCTTGGACTAGAGATCTACAGGCTCAGACACTTCGGAGCCCTGCCGGGGGCTCCGAGCCCTATATTAGTGTCTCGGACTTCTGAGACATTGTTTCACGGACGGACTTGTGCAGAGTAATGATATGGGCGTCTGCCTGCAGTTATGGTCGCGTGGGAATATTCTTAGAGAAGGGCAAGCCGATACCTACGGAGTATACCTCAGCAGGTGAATTTAGGCTAATTACCAAAGCAGATGAGATATTCTTGAAGAAGATTATTGGGTTCACACTAGCTAGCTCCTCTTGGCTCAGATAAACGCATCCCGTGAACGCGTGGCCAGTGACCTGGTCGCCCCATCCTCACCGGCGCATTAAGCTTGTTTGCTTGGCGCATGTTTACATCCAGGTAATTAGCAGTCGAATTAAGCTGATCAACATGCAGTGTGCCGTAAGTCGAAGTGATCATGATGTTGGCTAATGAAGGAGACAGCATCCCGTGCCATCCTGGCGATTAACCATGGACAGACTATTCTGCAGCCCGTGGGATGAGGCCGGATATCGAAACACGATAGACCTCGAAGGATCTTAATACCTCGGTTGAGAAGGCACCAGCGTTTGTAACTACGTACCTGTGCACCTTGTGACACTAGCGCCCAAGCATCTACTCCGTACTCGTGATACGAGATATCATTTGGTACAAGACATGCGTTAGATAACCAATCCTACGAGCAGGGTCATACTCAGCTTAGGGACGGATTTTGAGAAGGATCAGCGCGTCACTTGCACGACATTACTGCAATGAGTATGGCCTATATGCACACAGGAAATCAACAAATTAGGTTCACATTATGATACAAATGTGCAATGGCTATACGCAGGTCTTAAATTATTGAGAGCCTGCCGGCTATCAACTCGCAGAGAGCCTTTTTCTACCACTATCTGTGTATTAATTTTAGCCAACGTTTATTGCAGTGTAAGTCTCGGCCTCCCTTCTATAGGGACAAACAACCGTCTCGTTTTAGACCGCCACATCCTAGACAACTCCGCCAGTTCCTCGAGGGTGGAACCACAAAATTACGAAGCCCTGCTACCAACCCCGCGGGAAATTAGTCACTCCAAGTCAGCCAGGACGCTGGCTGGCGGTGCATAAAAGGTCACTCCGGTCAGGGGCGTCGAGAAATCGAGCAAGCGATCGTGTAATCCAGGAGGGTTGCCGATGAACATGCGCTCTAGCATCCTCTCAATGACCCACAAGCGGCGCGTGTATCCGATAAAATATGTTCCAAACTCGCCCGAGCTAGGGTTTCCGAAAGGCATATTGTCGCGCAGAATTTCATGTTCCTCTCCATTCTCCTCGATGGTCGCGAGCGATTTGTGTGACTGTTGTTTACCTTCATCCGCATCATCCAACTCGATGTTCTCCCACTTGGTGCGGCCGATGATTGCTTCCTGCTTCTCGGAGGAGAGAGACTTCCATGCTTGCAGGTCGTGCACGTACTTCTGCACCACGATGTAGCTTCCTCCAGTAGCGGAGGTATCTTCTTCGGCGACAAGGAGTGTATCGGAAACTGATGGGCCGGTTGGGTTTGCTGTGCCGTCGACAAACCCAAGCAAGTCGCGCACGTCGAAATAACGGAATCCGACCGTCTGATCGACAACCGTAACGGAGTCGCCGAGGAGGTCCATCAATTGGCGCTCGAACTCGAAGCATAGGTCACGACGATCCGAGCGGATGTGGAAAAGCAGGTCGCCGGGGGTGGACACTGCGGTGTGTTTTTCGCCCTTTATCTCACGGAATGGGTGCAGCTCGGCCGGGCGAGGAAGACCGGTAAGGCGATCCCAGACGTTGCTGCCGATTCCGACGGTACATGCGAATTGGGCAGCGAGGTCGCGAATAGAAACGTTCTTGGAGAGGTCATCGACGCTAGCGAGAGTCGAGCGGACCGTCTGAATGGCCTCCGAGTCGTCCTTCACGGACACGACCAGGAAGGTTGCAGATTGGGTCAACGGTGCGTCGACGCGTTGGGGTTCGATTGGGGTGCGACTGCTCATATTTGCGGTTGTGGCTGGTAAACGGGTTCTCAATTGAGGGGTTACAGGACGTCGGAGCTCTCTTGAGGACGTAATCCCAGCTACTTGCTGGCTTGCGATGCTGTTTCGAAGTGGTGGTCTAGGCAATGGACGGCTGCGGCACTGTTGGGAAACTATATTGTACACAATGTTCCTGCTTCTGGGGATCCTGTTCATATTTTACCACCGACAGCTCCGGCGGACCTTGTCTGACATGAGTCAACTCTGGAAGTCACTAAGGTCAGGACACCGAGTCGAGCTGAAGTGGAGCGTGAGGGGTCAGCAATTGAGGGCTAATCTTAGATATCAGAGTTCACTTACTCCTTTCGGCGTTGACGTCACTACTCCCGCTCTCGATTGGTCCACCATGTGACCGTCCAGTAATGGAGAAGCCTAATTGGTCAACGTTCAAGAGGACTCTTCGTTGCAGTATATCCAGGAATGTTGTCCCAGATTGTGAAGATAAAGGACCAGGAAACTCGGTGAGCTTGTAATTATGGTGTCTTACCGTTTCTATAACTATATAATGGTTATATATAACAAAATATTGCGAGTTGCTTCAATATCTACCTCATACCTGCATACCACAACATGGCTAAACAACATCATTCCAATTCCGAGTCACTTCCTATTGGCCACTTAGTATTACCGAATTAAGGTTGGCTTGCTTTCCGGTAGACACTACTCTACAGCTGGTTAGATCCATTGGTCCGTGCGAAGAGTCGTGTCGATCTTTCGCGAGTTTCCAGGCGAGATTAACTGACAGCATTGTTCTAGATGCAGCGGATACAGGCACAGATGTAAGCTCCAGACTAAAGATTAAATCATATAGAAGTTCTTAATTGCGGCTATATCACGAGCTAATTGTCAATTCCCAATTCCCAATATCTTTGGAGGAACTGCTCTTGCGTTCTCTTCTTTTAATGCTTCCTGTCAATGCCTACAAAATGACAATGGGGCATTCTACACAATCCGAAATTCAAGGCAGGGTTTCCATTTATCGCATCGCTCTCCGTTCTAACCGACCCGAAGCCGAAGCCGAAGCAAAGCCGTGTGCTCTGGAAAGGCAAGCAAAACGACACAGCAACTGTACCATTGGGGCTGATCTAGAAATAATACCGCAACCACGATTAGGCAAAACACAGCTTCCAATTCTGGTTGTATTGCCCGACTTTACTATCACTCTTTGTCGGAGAAACCAAAGAGATTCTACCCGATAAATATCTATTGTCTGTAGAGGAGATATCCGGCAGTACTATCTAGAAAACTTAGACTACAGTAATTTCTATACAGTTAATATAGATAAAAAGCCTAATCCAGTTACTCTAAATGTAGGGTAATATTATTTGTCAAGCATCTATTATAGAAATATTTTTTATTGATACAGTATCACAACTACCGAATCTATCTTTTTGCTAAGGACAAGAGTTTATATATATGCCGATAACAAGACTCTCCGGAACCGAAACTCAAGAGATGGTATTGTTATCGACAAAAGAATCTATATCAAAGCTGCGGGATAGATATTGTCGGAGTAGAGCTTCTTGGCTATTAGATATTAAATAAATTAAAAGTGGATTCCGATCTGCGATGGATGCAACGAGCTCCTATTGCCAATCGATGCAGCACTGGATGACGTCCCCATACTCTGAACTGCAGAACGAACTCTGCAAGGTATCTCCATATCTCCGATAAGCCGCTTCCTTATACGACGATTGAATGCTGGATTAAGAAAATAGAGATAATTACCGGCTTTCTGCAGGTCACGCGTCCATACAGCTTGCAATACAGGGCAGAGACAACATTAGACAGCAGAGATGCGTTACTCCAGCATATTAACCTTCGATTTACACATACTAACGCATCTTAGGATCTATTAGTGATTCCCTGCGCAATCTTATTTATACATTATACCGACACCCGGATCCTTTTGCACTATAATCTCGGCAGAAGGATCAATAAAAATCTTCCTGCCATTATTCGCGGTTTTAATCCTGAAGACGACATTATGCCCTCAGGAATTGACTACCGCACAATTGTCCCCTGTCAATCAAGATCCGGAAATCGTTGATCTAATTCGCCGGCGCAACAAGCTTACTCGCCAAATAGATCGCCTATTGTCGAATTACTATGGAACAGAACAATACACAATATATAGGAAGCTGAATCACAAGATTACAGACATCAGGCAGCGAGCACGGAATATATTACTTACTCAGTTCTAAGTAAAGTATGACCGCGAGCAATCGATACTGGGAATCAAATGTCAGCTGTCTGGATAATCTGACCGAGGAAGAAAAGTCTCTTACGTGTTCAGAAGCGGTATCACTGCCTCAGAAGCGACTGATAGAGATTCTTCTCACCCTACCTTGCCTGATATTCGAGGAGAAACGACGCTGCACAAAGCAATACTGACGCCCCCAGGATCGATACCAAGGGAATCGTCGTATCCAGTGTTTTGGGTAGAAGCATCCAACGAGGCCTTTCAAAAATAGATCGTAATCGACCCTCTAGCGGCGAGGACCCTGGCAAAACCAATCAGCCTCGAACCGCCCATAACTGATCCATATAATCTTCTAAGCTACGTTGTCGCGTTTGAAGGAATCGCTTCGGCCAGAGATGTGACAGGACGTTACACGAAGAAATTCAACGCAAAGATTCGCAAACTTCGAATTGAATCGACCAAGAATAGTGAAGCTTAGTGGAAAAGAGTACTTGAGTGCTTTGAAAAGCCATCCCTAGAGGACCGCAATGTGCTCGAAATTGGTGAGTTAACAGCAAAAGCAGCGTCAGAGCCTATGCCGTGGAATGTGCAAGACTTCAAAAACCACCCTGTCTACGCGCTAGAGCGACATCTTCGTCGTAACGAGGTTATACTTTCGAACCGCGTTATTGGACAAGTTAGTCATGCGAAGGCAGAAACCAATGGTCAAACAGAGCCAGTATATCGCTGGTCTGATATCCACGCCCTTACAAATGCGAATAAGTGGTATCAACTTGGCCGAGGTATTTAAATGGGTGGGTAGGCTCTAAAGTGTATACTAGCAAGAAACAAGGCAATAAGTATAAATGATGAAGAGAAACCCGAAGAAATGGCTTTATATGTATATTTCCAAACATAATTATACCAACCGCCACCTGTTTTCGAGGGAAAGGTTTCGAAGAACGCCTATGGGAATCTGGATATTCATGTCCCAAGGATGGTGCCTCCAGGTGGAGTTTATATCAGGCATCTCGATGCTGTATATGCTGCACAAGTATTAGGGGTTGACTATCCGGACGCTGCTACAGGGGTTAACATTAAAGGACAACATGGCACAGCTATTATACAAGGAGTAGTAGTTGCTGCTGAATACTATGAGGCGGTCCAAGAGATGTTAAGCTACATCGAGGAAGAGAAGTTGAGGAATAAGCTTCAAGATAGGTCTGCCCAGGTCCTCTGTACCTGGAAGTATTTTCTGTTGAAACCTCGGACTGCCGAGCAAGTTAAAAGGCCACAGGGTTGAAGGCGAAGCTGACAGCGGAGCGAGTAGGCTTTCGGAAAGTAAGGAGCCAGAAGAGCTGGGCGGCGGGTTCTTTCTCGAGTCTGGTACCGAGCTGGCGAGTCCGCCTCACTTTCAACTCTGGTCCATCCAATGGGTATGCTGCTCAGAATCAAGAGACCGGTGGTGGGTTTCTCCCCGAGTCTGATTGGGGGATGGCTTTATCTTTATGTTCACATCGACCTGAGTTGGGCAATGGAGGCCAGCCTCTCTCTTACGTCGATGTGGATGATCTCGTTGGCGGGCTTGTTCCTAAGGATGAAGGAAAATATTTTGATACTTATTTGTCCTTAACTGTCATGGTTTCCCTGCTAGTAAATAAAACCATACACCGCCTCAAGTTCCAACCAAGTTCCAGGGTATTGCAGTGGAAACGGGCGTTATATTGTAGTATTCTAGCCCTAATTATCCGTCAGCCCACCAGGCACCCAGAAATCGAGATCTCGCAGCGGTAGCTGTGGCCTTGAATAATCCATTACGTAGATACCTCGTCATGATTGGGGCTTCACCCAAATTATCGAAAATATCATATAGAATGGCCGTAAGCGCTCGAAACTACTTCATCGAGGATTAGCAGCTAAATGTGACATGTACTCTAGCCTTCTAGCCACTTTATTCCATGGCTGGTGATACTGTTCCAAAACTCGCAGTTCTTATCGACGCGGACAATGCGCGTTTCTCTATAATCCATCATCTCCTCGCTGAAGTCGCAAAATACGGCACAGTCCATGCGAAACGAGCGTATGGAGACTGGAGTAGTCCCTGTCTCAAGGGCTGGAAGGACGAACTCCTTCAGCATTCAATTCAGCCAATCCAGCAGTTCGCGTATACTCATGGCAAGAACTCAACCGACTCAGCTATGATCATAGACGCGATGGACCTTCTCTACTCCAACCGCTATGATGGTTTTTGCCTTGTCTCCAGCGACAGTGACTTCACCCGGCTAGCCGCTCGTATACGTGAGTCAGGACTCGTGGTATACGGGCTCGGGGAGTACAAGACGCCCAAGCCCTTCGTCGCCGCCTGCGATAAATTCATCTACACTGAAAACCTCGTGCATCTTGATGAGCTTGTCCCGCATGCCGATAGTATTATCTCGTCTCGGAATTCTTTGTCGGTTAAGGAAGCTCAGAATGATGAACACTTAGAAAGTCAGTTACGAACATCGGTAGAAGCAGCTTCCGATGATGATGGATGGGCTAGGCTCTCCGATGTCGGTCAGCTTCTTACCAAGAGATATCCAGACTTCGACTCTCGTAGTTACGGGTATCATAAGCTCAGCGATTTGATTACCGCTTCTTCTGTATTTGAAATCAGCCGCCGATCTCGTCGGAAGAAATCCTCTACCCAGGTTTATGTACGTGATAGACGCCGGAAGTCTAAGGGATGTACTGAATAAGTATATCTTTTAAGTAATCTTATTCGTTAGGGCTTCATCTGGTACTTGAGCGATTTGAGCAAACTTTTATGCGGGAAGTCTTTGGTGGTGGTCACCAGTCCTGCGTTACAAGTTGCTTTAGGCAGTAGCATTGTGATAAGAGTCTAATGCCGGACACGCTATTATTATGCCTGAACAAGCTGTATCTTCAGCCAGAAATCAGTCGCTAAATCCAGCTGACAGATGTATAGACCATGGCGAGAGCTATTGTGGGGCTTTGGCACATCAGTCGCCGAGCAAATGCCCCAGCAGGTACTTTTCCTTACGAGGCTTAGCAAGATTGGAATGTTTCACGCTGCTAAGGGGGCTGCCTTTTGCTACGTATCCGTTAATATACTCTCCACAAAACGAAACTCCTGTTGTGTGACAAGGATGACAAGCCCTCCGAGAAAACTTCTCGAACACTGAGGTCTTTGACGGGGTGTGGAAACCGCCAACGATTTACTCCACACAAGATCCAAACAAGTTCTGGGTTGAAACGGCGCTGGAGGCAACTTTTGTGATCGGCCAAAAGAAAATTCCTTACAACCAGCCCTATTATGTTGTCTTTCGATATGGCAGAGGGCCTAATCCGCAAATTTCGAGAAATTATGAATCCGCTGCGGGTTATCAAAGCCTTTGGATGTGAGGATTCCTCACTAATTTTGAAGCGGAACGAGCCCGTGGAGAAAAGAACAAACATCCTGAGCTTTGACGCAGTCAGAATGCTGCTCAATATCAATCTACTTTGGGATAGGCCTTGCTGGCAATCATAACCCCAGTGCTATTTTAAAAGCTCTTTTGCCTGTTTGGATTTATCAGTTATCATTCTGTTGTTCTACTCTCTTGAATCAACGTTCATCTTCCCTGTGCAGTTCATAAAGCGACGACTTGACCTCCAGGTATTAGTATACAATATCAATTTCATATTAGGTGCAATCGTCGTGGAATGCTAGGATATCCCAGCTCAAGTACTGATCAATTCCTGCCTGAATATAGATCAATATACATCCTGAGCTGAGAGTGGAATGCGGCAGATCAAGTGCATTGCAGGATTGTTGGTATGTATCCTGCATATCGCTTTCGAAGTTAGATACCAGGTCAGGTCATGGGATCATGCCTTTTCACTAGCAACTAGGCTCCATGGCACCGAGACTCTTGTACAAAGATCTGGGGATGAAAACAGCCTTCCCAGTCTACGTAGATCCCTAGTGGCTTTTGGATACACGATGACGGTGGAAAATATTGAGACCTTGGCAAGGTCCGGACGGTCAATATCTGCCATAGTAGCTGAATATTACATAGTAGTGATGGATCCACTATTGGTTTCAAGGCCTGCTGGGTACTGGAAGCAGAAACGGGACCAGCACCTCGGAACCTTCTAGGAACTCTGTGGTCTCCACTTTTTCATGGCTGGTGAGACTTCACAGTCAACTATGTCTGCTTTTTGGCCTGTGTTAGACTGGTATATCCGTGGACTAGGAACCGTGGGGCAGTCAGATGATCTGGGGTTGATCGTAAACTAGAATTATACCGGGAATATCATGAAGAAGGTCTTTTCTTTTTCCAACTACCAACACCAGGGATAGCTTGCTTAGACCGTGTAGAATCCGGTACTTGTTCAGTTTTGATTACGTAGGTCCTTCCTTCCGGCGGATGAGTACAGCACGTGCGCTTCCGTAGATCAACAGTTGTCGCACCACAACAACGGTTGTTTCTAAAGAAGCTGAAGTTTGTTGATTAGTAAATGAGTTAGTACTGGTTAAATGGCTTCCCTAGGCTAGCAGATATATGTATTTGCCCATAAGGTGTTTCTGTTCCTGGGTAGATATGGCAAGGCGCAATACCTGCAGAGTGCTGATAAATGTAAACAAGCGGAGGTATAGAAATAAAACAAGGACACGTAGGGGCGTTATAGTAAATTATTATCCCAAGGAGTTGGATAGAGGGCAGTTCGAGTTCTAAAATTCTAGGAAATTCACTGAACATGCTGTGGAAGAAAGAATAACTAATCCTGTATTGCTGGTTTGAATTTTGAGAGTATGCTTTTCGAGCTATTCTATTTTCTCAAGACATTGCCTGCGTAGAGACTCAGATGATTGAAGTTAGAAGTAGTGACATTGGAGAAAACCAAGGATGGCGAGGTGTTTTGTGTCGGAGCTTTCCTGGCTGCGTATTCCTTGCCCTAATCGAAGTTTTTTTCTCCCGTACCCTATAATATGGACTTATATAGCAACGAAATAGATTAACTACAGCGACTAAAGAGTAAAACCCCACAAGGCTAACATGCAATATGCATTCCTCACCAACCAGTCGGATGACGTGCTTACGTACTAATCTCTGGCGGAAAATTATTCCCCAAGGGATGCGTCGATCCCAAACACTTTCCCTTTCCTGAACCTCCAGAGGGAAGGGAAAAATCATAATTGAACATAGAATGGCGATACCCGTCAAGGGCCCGGCGCAGCATGATCGTGAGATATCGCCAAATCCCCAGCCCGGCGTTAGCGCTCCCATGATCGGCGATAATGATGAGCAACAACAACACATCGTCTCCCAAGAGGAACGCGAAAATCTGCACCGCGGACTGTCCCAGCGACATGTCCAGATGATCGCCATCGCGGGCGCCATTGTATGTGAATCTACACCATGTTGTCCTGAATTACCCATTAAATGACGCATTCGAGCCTCTAGGGAACAGGACTTTTCCTGGGTCTCGGCGGCGCGATCGCGACAGGCGGACCGCTTGGTGCTCTTCTCGGCTACGTCTTCGTCGGACTGATCGTATGCTGCATTCAATACGCACTGGGCGAGGTCTCTGCGTTGATGCCGGTCACGGGTTCATTCGTGCGACACGCCGAACTACTGGTCGACCCTGCATTGGCTTTTGCGATCGGCTGGAACGTCGTTTATGGCTCCTTCTTGGCCGTGCCGAGTGAGATTTCCGCGGCTGTAGTGATGATCCAATACTGGACAGATATCAATGCCGCGGTATGGGTGACCGTGCTAATCGTCGTGTCCGCCGCCGTCGCCATTACACTGGTGCGTGTGTACGGTGAAATCGAGTTCTTTTTCGCCCTCTTGAAGATTCTGTTGGTGGTCTTCGTCGTGATTCTCGGTCTCGTAATCGATCTCGGGGGAATACCGGGCAAGCCACGATTAGGCTTTCACTACTGGAAAGAGGGCCTATTTGTCGAGTACATTGCCAGTGGCGCATGGGGTCGCTTTCTCGGTTTCTGGGCCGTGATGACCAACGCTGTCTACAGCTTCTCGGGCGTAGAATCCTTGGCGATGGCAGCAGCGGAGACGAAAAACCCACGCCACAACATCCCCAAAGCTTGTAAAAGAGTGTTTGTGCGTGTGACTATATTTTATCTCGCTGCAGTTCTCGTCGTGAGCATGCTAGTCCGAAGCTCCGACCCAAGACTTAGAGATGACTCTGGTACAGCCGCAACGAGTCCCTTCGTGATTGCGGCTAGCGACGCCGGCATTCAAGCGATACCATCAATTGTCAATGCGATCTGTATTACTTCAGCATGGTCCGCCTCCAACCAAAGCATGCTGGCAGGTACACGAACACTCTACGGTCTTGCCGTCAAGGGACATGCACCCAAGATCTTCCTGAAAACCTCCAGCTGGGGCGTACCATACATGTGCGTCGCCGCCCAGACAGCTGTTTCTTTCCTAGCGTACATGTGTGTCTCGAATAGTGCCTTGACCGTCTTCTATTGGTTCCTCGATCTGACAGCAGCTGGTGTCTTGGTATCGTGGATTACGATCGCATTCAATCATATTCGCTTGTTGCAGGCACTAAGGGCACAGGGGATCCCGGCAACTGAGTTACCCTGGCATAATCGCATAACTTGTATGTTTTTTCTCATCTGGAGTTCTCGAGATACTATATATCCGACTAACGCTCTGTAGACTTTTCTTCGTGGTTTGCTTTTATCGCCTGCATACTCATCCTCTTCACTGGTGGATTTACCGTCTTTACCGCCGGGAATTGGGACCCTGCCTCCTTCGTGTCGTCTTATTTGTATGTGTTACCGGTTCACGATTTTCATGCACTAAGCGAAAGGACTCACAATGATCACAGAGACATCCCCCTCGTGTTAGGTGCATATGGGCTCTACAAATATATTCGCGGGACGAAAATCATTCCCTTGAAGGAAGTCCCTGTTCATCAAGCGCTGGAGGAGGCACGGAATGATCCGGAAAATGTACCGATCAAGAAGGCTCAAGGGTGGAGAAGGCTTAATATTTTATGGGCATGAAGCTGAAGGCGATAAGTATAACAGAAGCACGGCTTCCATGATGATACGTATATGCATACATGCATTGATATAGACAGCATTCTATTCCGGCATTTCTTGGCGGTAGGTATTATCGAGGATGAAAGCCATATTAAATGGCATTGATTTAATTTACCATCGTCTTATTTTAATAGGGCTATCTGTTCTTCCCAAGATATAATCATGGATTCATGTTATTCATCTCATATGTATTGGCCTTCCTTTCTTCCATCCTTCCCTTTTAACAGATATCCCCTGGTCGAGACCTGCGCGGTCCCCCGTGTATAATTATACTTCTATATTAATTAGCATGCATCCCAGACAATATCCCAACAGCACTTAGACTCTCTAATCACCCACCGAAGCTTACAGATTCTTCTTGCAGGCTCTCTTAGCGCCGACGGTCCCAGGTCGAGAGCGGCTAATCAAACTGATCGTCCCACTGGCGAAGCGATGCAGAGTGCGGCCGGATATTATCCCTTTACGTCTTGATGATTTTGAAAGTCTCTCCTAGAACAGAGTCGAGGCTTACATAGTCTAAGCCGACCACCTTGAAAATTGATAATTATGGCCTGCTGCAAGGCTCAATCATTGTCGAACCAAATAAGACTGCGAAAAGTCCGTGTGATTTCTGCGTAATCGAGAAGAGCAATGGCCCCTTCTTTATGGGAGAGGAGCATTTCAAAGGTAAAACCAAACGGCGGGCCAATGTTCCAAACTGGTATTTGCCATCCTTGTAATGCTGAATTTTGAATGATAGATTAATGATAAGAGCTTGAATTGGCTCGCGGGCGGATATTGTTCAGGGGCATGCTACTGTGAGCCAGCGGCTTACCACTCAAATCGGGGTTGAGGTAACTTATAGGAAAGTTTGCTCGCTCACTGACGATGGTAGAGAAAATGTCAGGGTGGACTGTTTAGCACATATATTGCAGCCTGAGGCCGACGGGCTAAGCGGCTTACCAATAGTCCGTACGAGCTCCGAATCTGGCAGCTAGGGAGCTCCATACCACACGGCTGAAGACAGCGAGGGTTGTGTGCCAGAAAATCAAGAACCTCTGAGATATTATTTAATTGAACTATCACTTGTTCACTTGACTGCATGCCTTTGCTCTGAAGCAGAGCTCATGATGCACTGGACTTTAAGTCGTTCTGCCAATGTTTTTGCTGCATGTAACAGACTAGCCTTGACGCGCCCACTATCTTCAACTATCTCTCACCCACTTATCTTCTCGTCGTCCCATAATCCGCAAAGCCAGCAGCGCCGAACCGTTATGTCATCGCCCCAATGGACATCTGAACCAAGGGTATTTCCGCCTGCTGGCTTGATTTTGCTGGATACATCCCTGAAGATCGAGGAAGAGACGTTACCAACGTACCAGCCGGAGAAATACTATCCGACGCAAATAGGAGAAGTGCTCGACAATAGATATCAAGTACTTGCTAAATTGGGGTACGGTGTCACATCGACTGTTTGGTTTGGTCGTGACTTGATGTAGGCACAATCCACTTGTTCAGTTATATTCTGATTTTCTAACAGTAGCGCAATATAGCGAGTCTAAATACGTTGCTCTGAAGATCTTTGTAAAGGACAGGGAGAGAAACCATGAATTGGATATCTATCATCGTATCAACTCGGTGGAGTCTGACCATCCAGGAAAGAGGTTTATCCGCAAACTACTCAATTATTTTACCATCGTCGGCCCACACGGCCAACACCTTTGCCTTGTTCATGAGCCTCTAGGAATCAGTGCAAGCAAGCTGATTAAATGGATGCCTGGGCGAGTGATGTCGCTCGAGGATCTCAAACCTTGTATACGGCAGTTACTTGTCGTATTGGACTTCTTGCATTCTATAGCACACGTGATTCATACAGGCATGGACCACTCTTCTCAAACCTCTGAATCTGGGCTGACTTGCATATAGATATTCAATTGAAAAACCTGCTTCTTCCCACCCCGATGCCAAAGGCGCTTTCCAACTTCGAAGAAAGGAGATAAAGACACAGTCACCAAGGAAGGTCCTCCAAGGCCGCACCATCTACACGTCGTCACGTTTCCCTCCTGGAGATGGGCTACCCCTTCTCAGTGACTTTGGTGAAGCTCGATTTGGTGACGAGGAGCATAACGAAGATATTATGCCAAATCCTTATCGGGCACCTGAAGTTATTCTGAAGTCAAACTGGGATTACAAGGTAGACATCTGGAATGTTGGCATGGTTGTAAGTAAACTGCACCTACCCAACCGTTATCCTGATTGTACTAATGCCCATTATACAGGCGTGGGATATTGTTAGCTCGGCTACTCTTGTTGACGGAAAGAACCCAGACGGCGTATTTGATGACCGCTTCCATCTTGCCGAATTGGTTGCACTTCTCGGCTCTCCCCCACCCGCGTTCTATCAACGAAGTCACCTTAGTGCTGTTTTTTGGGACAACGCAGGTAAATGGAAGGGATTAGCCCCAATACCTGATAAGACACTTGAGGGCTTAGCCATCAATATCAGGGGCGAGGACAAAGAGGGCTTCTTGCGTTGGCTCCGACGGGCCTTGCAATGGAATCCCAATGATCGACCGGCAGCTCTAGAACTCCTCTATGATGAATGGATGATGAAGGGGCTAAAACTAAGAAATTCTAGCGGCGGAAGCGCTACGTCTAACAGTTGAAATGTACATCTTCTCATCTAAGTGTCTGCGTAGTCCATAACATAGACACTTAGGAGCAATGTCAAGGACATTACTGATATAAACGATAAAAATATGGGAAAGGCAAAGATACTACCTGAGAAAAGTAGATATAATTGATCTAAGTAATAGGGTCAGACAAATTATCACTCCCTAGTCATATAGGTATTTGCTTATTGGCATCTTTAAACTGTCCCTACATATAGTGATGATTCCACCTACCATTTCCATGTTAGAAATATATCATAGCATTCCGATATGAAGTTTAACTCAATAAACGCATCGCAATATTGGTATTTCAAGGAATAGTAAATATTGTACTTGTCTATATTACTTGATATTCTGTTTAGATAGTATATCATTTCAGTAGCAATAAGTTTCGTTGAAATACGTGTTTCCTTGGTTCCACGATGCTTTATTAAAATACGCCGAGATACCTACGAAGAGCTGCCCCTATCATTAACCACATATTTCGGTCGCAAGTAGGGGCGACGCCTCACCAGCTTTTTCATAAACTGAGTCGCACTTCCTGCAGAATGATTAGTTGTCGAAAGTAACCGGGTCAACAGTAAGTTAGAAACTAACAACATGTGCAGGGAATAAGTAAAGGAGTTATTAATTCTATAACAAGATGTATCCAATTAAAAATAAAATAAATTACTTAGTGTCTAGATCTCTAAGCGCTTCGTGATCTATATATATTATAGGCCATTGAGTAGCCATATCAGACAGCCAGCAGATCACTGGGCCTGTACCAAATTAAGTAGACAGGGTTTGGTATAAGAAACACACTGCGGTGATTAGAAAGCGGGTCTGCGGACTCAACAAAAATAAAAAGAAAAAAAAAGAGCTATGAGACAAAATCACAATATCAGAAAATCGCAAACAGGACTGATTAAGTATGCAGTTCTTAGGCTTGCCCCTGCGTGAAAGCAGCAGAGCCTCCGAATGGACCGGAGATGGCGTTATTGCGAACCCGCACAATGCAGACGTTCTTAGCAGATCCAACGGTTGCAGTGCACTTCATTCCCTGAGGGATCTGGACCTTAACAGCATAGTCCATGGTGCTGGAGGTCGAAAAGCCGGCAACGCCAGGGATGTTCTGGATGACCCGGGCGCTCTTGAAGGCCTTGGGATCGGTGCCTCCACTGGAGGGGTCGATTTCAGCAGAAAGTGGGCCCGCACCGTCCTGGTTAACCTGAAGTGATGTGTTGGCCTTTGTATGTTTAAGTCATGATATCTTGGCTTACCTGGTGGTAAATCATAGTAACTACACCGTCCGGTGAAGCGGTGGGGAGACCAATGCTCGCGCCTTTTCCAGAATACAGTTGCATGCCGTTCTCCTTGGAACCTTTGCCAGTCACGGTACCGGACTGGGTTCCTGGCAGGATGGCCATAGCATCGTCGATTGTGGATTGAATACCTAGTGGTTTTGGTTAATACTGTCTGTATGGAACGTGGAAGGGATCTCTTACTCTTGATGGTTCCGCCAAATGGTGTCGCATCCGCAAGGTCCTGGACACCTTTAAGACATTAACATATGCTGAATAGTGTTTTGATGAAAGTAAATACCATTAAGGATAGTACCACCAGCATTGGTAACAATGCTTGCAGCATCGTTAATCAGCTGACGCCCTTCGGAACTATTAGCCTAGTCAAACTGGAATAGATGGCAATATCTCACGTCTATGACTGGCCGGAAGACGAGAGCGCTTTTGCTTCCCACCGCTCACAAAGTTGTTGATAACAATGGCAGGGTTAACAGGACCGCTACCGAGAGTACGCCCCAAGGGTGAAGCCTTGACACTTCCGAACTCAGCGTCTCGGATGATAGCCGTATCCTTCTGGGCGCCACATGCGGCAGATGGGCAGTCCCGGGGTACTCCATCCTGAACTGGAATCATCAATTAGTCGCTGCATCATGATATGGGAACCGTGCAAGGGCTTACTCGTCAGCCCAGGCATGTCAATGCCATTGTGGCCTTTAACACGGGTGATGAGGCCATGAGCTGCAACCTGGCTCACGGCGAGTCCTGTCAGGGTAATGGCCTTGATGAACAACATTTTGAATATTAATAATTAAGAGTTAACGTTGGATAGTTAAGATTCGCTTGAGAAGAAGAATTGGATTGTGTGCTGCTTCAGGTTAACGATGACAGGACTCATGATGCCTTAAATATCTCAAACATGCGCATCTCCTATCTCTGCCCCTGCTGTTCCGTAGCTATTATCATCCACCAATATCCACAAATTGGTCCAAAAGTTTGTCAATGACACATCGAATGCAACCATGTGAAGGTATTGTCAAACATCCATCAGCGTTGTGGCTGGTGGACTTGTCAACGCACAGTGTAGACCCTGTAGAATTGAGTTCCCAGGCAGTACTAGAGTGGCAAAGGATCGGAGTGAAGACCCTGGTCTCGAGTACGGTACCTGGCAGATGATCGTCAGAGACTCCACAGGTTTCATGAAGCGAAGCGAGCAGAGCGAATCATGGGGAATACCATGCATTGACAATGTTTGGGACTGAGACTGGGCTCCCGAGCGATCTGTTGATAAATTGCAGGGCTACAGTGGAGCCTGATCAAACCTCTGAGGAACTGTAGTTTGTCTCTGCCTTATCAACAACCGCATAAGCTTGAATTAGGCCAACAGCTATTCAACCACGCAGGATATGCTTTCCAGCTTCAGCCTCAGATGAAAGCTATTGCGAGCCCTCTGGTTTCTCATAAGGCATGATTTGCTACATATTACCAGTTTAATTGCCGAGCGAGCGCCTTCTTCACCTCCATTCCTCCCGTGGCTCAATGGCTATCGTTCTCCTGCAAAATGCCCCGGAGGAGAAAACCTTTACTGATAGAGTTCCTTAGCGATCAACTCAATGCTTCACCATGTTTCAAGGTTCCTTAGAGAGTTCCTGCTAGACTTGAGCTGCGATATGCTATACCCTAACCGGTAAAGGGGCCAGAAAAAGTATGCGGGATGCTACCAAAATAGCAACCGTAGGGTTGCATCTGGTGTGGAGCCCTGAGCAAAATTGGCGTTCAATTGGGGTAGACTTGCGACCATGAACCCAATCACACCAGGTTCCTCCAGCGATGGCTTATTTAGCTCCTAGACCATGGCCTGATGGTCTCCGGACGGTCGTTCTCAAACCTCCCTCCGTATCAGGGCTGGGGTTCGTGGGTAGTTTGGTAGATCATTGCCCGGTACATGTGATTTGCCAAGTCGGGCTCGGTTAAGTCGGTTTCTCGGGATATGCGGAGATCTTGAAACAAATGAACCCTTTTTTTATACCTTTTGGAAACACTTCTAGGAGGTGGCATTCAGCTCACTAGACTGCCGTCCAGACTCGATGGCTTTGGACCTTGAAACTATTTTCAGGGTTCGGACTTCCTGAAACGGAAACGGTCTGTCCTGGCCCGAGCCGATTGACCCGGACGATGATGTTCAAGGACCTTAAGCTTCACTTGGTTCAACTTTGGTATGCCGTACTATATTGTGCGAAGAGTGATTTGGGGGTACAGATAACCTCAGGTACTGTGATCTGACGGCATAGAGCAAATGGCTGCCTCTACACATCAGGGCCTGAGAGAATAAGAGCGCTCACTAAACGTAGTTACAACGAAGACTTCAAGAGTGGCGTTCCTCCAAAATTCAGCTTTTACACTCCTGCCTCTCTATGTACTAGTTTCCCATATCTTCGTCTGGTTGGGCTCGGAAATACACTATTGCAGAGATATATTTCTAGCAAAAGTAGTAATATCGGAGGATTAAAACCACCTGATAAACTCAAAAGTAGGAAAGTTAAAATTTCTTGTTTATCATCCATTTTGGACTTTCTACCCTATTTGCCCCACATAATTAGTGGCACTCTCATCCACGGGGGAATCCTCGTACATCGTTGTTTACGAGAAACGTCCACCAGAGAAGCATTAGGGATATAAATAGACTGCGAAAACCTTCGGTCTCAAGGTCTCTTTAAAGACTCGGTTCTCTATCCTTTGACACAGATTCTGTTGGTGCACTGAATATCTTATGCAATGCTTCCAGGCTTACACTCCCGCTGAATATCTTCGATCGATTAGGGGTATATTGACTTGCAGATTGCGTTAGGTTGCAATCCAGAGATCTGACAAAGTAGGGGGACCACAACCTCATATTTGTTGAGACCGACATCCTGACACCAATGCTGCTTTCTGAATCCCCCTTCGCAGAATGAATGGCCTGGTCGTTACCACTGCGGTTGAGGACCCGTAATCAGGCAATATTCGAATGTCTGAAACGTTTGTCTTATGTTCGTTAACATATTGCAACTGGCTCTAACTGTATTGAATTCTATTTACACAAAGTTCAGTCCCCTTACAAGTCTTTCATGGTGACAAAAGCGCTGGGATAGTCTTGTGAGCCTCAGTACCCAAAGTTTGGCATGTGGTTCCCAAAAGAAATAGCATCAATGGGTATATGTCGGGTGTACATTATCTTGAGTGTTTCGCTCTGTGTCACGATGCCATTTCTTCTCTTGACACGAGTGTGGCCATTGGTTAGGAATTCGACAGCTCTGTATTTCCGTAGAAACCACTTGCCCCATAAAGACAGCATGACATTTACAAAACCTGGAGCCTATTCTAAATTTTGCTCGGTGAAAGGGGATCCCCCAAGGCAGTTTTCATCTCGTCATCCAAATGTGAAGTCATGCATTGAAATTATACCGCAATCCCATCTTAAACGTTCACAGCCAGCTTAAATGAACTAACCAGCCAAGACCAAGCTAGCGCCACCCAAACGCAGGACATGTATACGGCAAACCCATCTCATCAACAATAGCTCTCCGTAACATGGCCCTGGCACGCCTCAAATCCGGCTCTGCACCGCGAGGGAGACAAAAGACGAAAGCGGAGTAGATCCTCATGTAATCGCAACGACATATCCTCGTGAGCTTTACGTATCCAAGTTCGGCCATGGTCCGACAGCTCTGCAAGAACATTTGCCTATTGCCAAAGCCGGAGTCGACCTCGACCTCTGCGAACCACATAACGAGGTCTGGGCGGTTGATCGATCGGCTCATAATTGCGTGTGGTGGCATCTGCCTGGTGGTTTGGTGTGGGCCAATTTGGAGAGGTGACTTTGATGAGCATCTGGAGTATTATGGAAGGACAGAAATGGGATATTAGAGCTGAGGCGTATAGCGATGGGATTTAGATACGTATAAAGCACATCTGTCCCTTGTCGTTGTATTAAGTTTGCTGTGTTCATTGTAAAAGGGCAAAGGTACAGCTGTAAGCTGTGACAGCCAGAGCTCTTTCTTTAGAATGTGCATGTTCAGAGAAGCAATGTCAAATTCATAGCCTTAGACTCCTGGGAGTACCGAAGTGTTCGATTGCATATTTTGTCGTTATTGGCTCCAAAGAAAGGACAATGCACTTCTTGTTTGTTACGTGGAGAACGCCTGAAAGAAGGAACAGGGAAATTCATATTGCTTCACAAAGTCCAACCAAACGTGCGCTTTGTGCAATTTACCGATTCTTAAGGGAAAATAGGAACAGTGAAACTTTTAAAAAGGAGCCACCCAATGACCCGCAGTAAGTTCCATCTCCAAAAGAAACAGTATGGCTAGTTCCCGTAGTAGACTCGCGTAACGAGTAGATGATACAGAACAAAGGAAGCAACCGGTCTACTCGGAATATGCCCCAAGTATTTTGAGTTGAAAGCCGATAATACCAGGATGGTGTCGTATACTTCCACATCAGCTCCTTCAAGAGGCAAATACTCTCGGACATAAATATGGTTGAGTGTGCTTGAATTCGCTCATCATGCAAGTCAACATACAGAGATTTCTAAAGAGACGTTGAACGAGGATTGCTCTCCCTTTCTCTGCCTTACAATTTCATATCTCAAAGCCAAGAGACCTAGGTCAACCTGCCAGTTCACATGGCAAACAACGCGCGAGGAGGTGGTGACCGCAATCATTTAGTGGAACTCCGTAATACGACTGAGGAGCTCATGTTTGTTGAGGTTGAACTTGATCCATCTGTGAAGAATGACCCCCACTGGTGGAGGGAGTACAGAAAGGCTGTGGATGATGGCAAAGCCAGGTTGGCTGGCCATGATAGAAGCATAACATGCCCGGGTGTAATATCGGCGCCACTTGGCTTGCAACCCCATGGAAAATATCCTGAAGGGGAGACTGCACCCGCAGATGTTTGGGAACTCTTGCGAGCCAAGATTGACGCGGAAATGATCAAGTCTACCAACTTGCCATTCATTAAGGGCGCTCTTGGCCTACGGTAATCGGTAGCTGGAGACTACAAGTCACAGGAAAGCCTTCTGTCGTGGTTATGCAATGCCCCTGGGCCGATCTATCCGCTGATGTGATGTTGGTGTGTTCGTTGTTGGGGGTTTGTTGGACAAAAGGGGATTATGTTTGATGGATCAACCTGGTATTCTATGGAATCATTAAGCAGGATGTCTCGAATATAATTGCTGTTATGGTTGGAACTACACACTCCCCTTAGCACTCATCATTGCAGACAATAAAGCGAGCTGCGATCGTTTTATACAATTGCAACTTAGTACACTATTCATATAGGACGGTTCTATCGTGACGTGTTCAAAAGGTGTGCAGACGAGGACAATAGGTGCTATGAGCCAGGCCAAAGCCATATTCACTAGACAAGATAGAAGAGGCTATGCGTGTATGTAGTATGGCACCAAATAGTTTCAATAACGTCTTGAAAAGCAAATTGCAGCCACAGAAGGTAGGCAAAGACGATAAACAAGACGGAAGACAGCACCGGTCCATCGCAGGATGTTCAATATACGACGATAAGAAGTTTCTCCCTATGGTCTACCTACAAGTCCCTCAACTTAACCCTTTCAGACTAAGCTACAAATCACCCAGCCAATCAACAGGATATCTCACATAGTCCGGTGGGGATTATCAAAATCACCAATCAGTAAAAGGGGTGTAAAGAGCTCTGCGGGGTTCGTATTCCTACACACTAACGGACATCCGCTTGCCTTGGCTGCAAGACTCTCCGCGGATTCTCGATCACTCGATCTTAACTACCCCACCTTGACCCATGGAAGATTGCAAGGTTACGAGCCCGGTGCTCCTGAGAGTACTCAGAGGAGTTGCAGCGGCCACATTATTAGACGAGAGCAGCTATGAGAGGCTCGCTCAGTGTTTTGCCCGTAGTGGCCCAAAAGTAGAAGGTGTCGACACTTGCCCTGAGAAGGATACTGGCCAGGCTCTTCCAGTCAGTGACTGGCTTGCTATAATTTCGGATATTTCTTGCGGTGACAAGGACAAACACCTAGCAGACCTTGTGCTCGCAATCGCGCTTCTTCGCGAAAGCGGCCGAAGGACAGGGGATCCTAGTCATGCAGCCGTCTCGGACGCGGATTTAACAACCGCGTGGAATATGATACGAGACGCGCTTCTCAGTGATCTATTTCGAGATTCTAATGTCCGGGCATCCCGCAGCGCACAAGGGTTCCTGTCCGTTCCCCTCTGCAGCATAGTGCAGAACGGGAATATCGAAGAGCTTTTTCGGCTTCATGTGTGGCTAGCCGATGGGCAGCGAGGAGTTCCAGAATTTGCGGTCCATTCCCATCAGCCATTCGCACAGAGTTGGATCCTCGCTGGTGCCGGGGTGGACCATTCATTCGATGTTCAGGCAACGACAGATGGCGCAACAGCCACCCATGCGAAGTATAGGCTCGTCTGGCAAGATGCAAAAAGTACAGGTAGGTCCTATAAGACACATCAAATATCATCTACTGTCGAGAACACTGGGGCCTTGGTGCAAGTGACGGCGAAAGGTTCAACGCTGCACACGCGCAATATGAGCTACTCGATTCCGGCGACTGCCTTTCATCGCACAGAAGTTTCGCCAGATACATTGCACGCGACGCTGTTCTTCTTCGACGCATCACGCGGCTTTGTGCAAGACGCGCCGGTGTTGGGTCCCAAGGATCTTCGCTCGTCCACTCAACTCCGTGATCCTGGTGGTATCTCACCAGCAGTGCTAGCGACCATGGTAGACGCGGTTCGATCATGGGAAGTGTTGATGGAGCAGGGAGAACAACATGCCCAGCGCGCTGAGTGGGAGCATGCATTGCGCTCATTCAGCCATGCTCTCAGTCTCTGTGGACCGGGAGGGTCGTTGCCAGAGTCAGCAAACTACAAGCATATCGCGCTGGGGAAGCTAGGATACACGGATAGGCGATTTGGAAGATACGAAAAGGCAGAGAAATATCTACAGAGTGCCTTGGAGGGGCTTGGCTCCACACCTTTGCATGTCGAACTTCTTGGTGAGTTGGGGGTAGTTTACCGCCATATGAATCGTCTCGAGGATGCCAAGCGAGAATTTGAGATTCAGTATAAAATGGCAGGGGAGCTAAAGTTAGAACATGCTATGTGCCGCTCTATCGGTAATTTGGCCATGACAAACTACCAGCTTTCGAGAGATTTGCTGCCTTTAGCCATTGACCAGTTAAAGGAGCGCATCCGTCTAGCCCGATCAATTAGGGCATCCGTGGGATCGGGAGAGGAAAGTCAGGCCATCATCTGGGAGACGGTTGGGCTTTCTCGACTGTCACTCTGCTACACTGCCTGTGGTTTTGCGAAAGAGGCAATTTCCGCGGCTTTAGAATCTGTGGAAGCCGCCCTCAGCACAAAAGACCCTACAGTAGTTGCAATGTCCCGATTTTTCTATGGACGCTCGTTGTATCTAAGTGGGCAGTTGGAGGAAGCTTTACAACAGTTCAATCCGGTTGGGACGTGTACTCCCGCTATGGCCCTGTGCAAAGAGCCTTCCAATGAGCATTTGGGATATTTGCGAGAGCTGGTGGAAGCTGGAGTCGACTTGGACCTCGTTGATGAACATGGCTATAGTGCATTGGATTACGCTGTATTTTGCGGCGACAAACAGACCGAAGAGGTTGTTCTTGACGGACTTTGCCGACAGTTCGGAGAGAAAGCGAACGACAAGCTCGTACAGCGACAAACAGAGGCTCAAGTGCGAAAGTGCTATCGGGAGTTGTTCCAAGAAAGTCTGCGGCCTATCCTTCTGGAAAGCAAGAATGATGTAAACCACTTGCAGCATCTACGACGCGTGTATGCCACGTCGCTTACGGCAGACGAAGAGAAAACCAGTATATTTGACGGGCTCAAATTTGTGTGGTACCAGGACTTTGTGCGTAATGGACGACTTCCACGATCGAACCACGGCTTGACGCAGCATTTTCACGATATAAGGCCCGAGCTTGCGCCAGACTACATCATCTTTATATCGTATCGCTGGATCAACGGTGATCCTGCGTGTGTAGCATCACCAGACGACACCAATCACACCCAATATCGCCGAATGATCAGAGCAATCGAGGCATTTATAGACGCTCACCCCTCTATTAACCGACAGCGACTGGGAATTTGGCTGGTAAGCTCCGTAACTAATGCTCTCAAAGTGATGATGTGTACTTATCTTTATCCAGGATTGGGCCTGCATCGATCAGGATGACCCCTTGCCTGGGATTGCCGCACTCCCTCTCAACCTTGCGCAATGTGATGCGGTAATTAGCCTGCTTGATGATAGTTATCACAGTCGCTCTTGGTGCTCTGTCGAAGTTATGATTATACAGACACTGCGAAGGTCATATCAGCTGCATTCATGGTATGAGCATAAAAGAATAGAAAACACGGAGCAATGGGCAATGCAGGAGGGACCATTGGACTTCGAGCCCTCAGTTGCGGGTAAACTATTGAGCTCCGAAGAGGATCGACCCAGGATCCTGTTTTTAGAGAGACAGGCGAGATTGCTCGGTCGGGACTAAACACGGTTGCACCTTTGCTCTCATTGCTATGCTGGTAAACGAAGTCTTGTACATATACGGCACAGGGGTGTTTTACCGCACTTCTGCGACCCAGTGGTCTCCACTACACACCACAGCCAATATCGATATGTTGAGACCAGGTGACGTATTCTAATCAGAATTGGTGGAATAATTGAGATATATAAGTCGAATGTTACATTTGATACGGAACATACCATTCGGATGATAAGGGACTCTTCCAAGACCGATATGCACCATACCACCAGCAGTACAAACAAGGCATGGACCAGGCTATATCAAGTATAGGTGTAGCAATACTCATAGTCGATCGGATTCATCACTTCCTTGACCTCCCTTCCACTATCCAACACCCCAAACTCCATCACCGTATCGAGAGTCACTAAGGGGGCATCCGGGGGGTCGTAGATGATCGTCGTGCCATTCAAGGCATTCCGACGATTTGGAGGATCATGCCACTGCCATATACTCCAGATTCGATCTATCATAGCATGATGCAGCATGAACACGGGATCCTGGGGTGATATAAATAAGTTCTGCATGTCGCCTCCGATGGAGTGGTGACCTCCCCCATGCGCACCCATATCATCAAAGCCACTAGGTTCCAAAATCCTAAGAAAATCCGTTATATTGCCGGCTTCCAGCAATCGATCGCCAATGGTGTTATTGTTGAACACGGCCATGATAAATGGGTTTATACTCCGCGTTAGGCAGTGCGGTTTATAGTCGTAGGCGTTGGGGGGAGGGGGCGCATAAGGCTGTGCCAAATTTGAGTCGATCGGCGCCAGGTGCACCTGGAAGTTGGCGAATGGGCCCGATCCCACACATCCATTCCCTGTGCCTCGCGGAAGACATTCCTTCCCATCGGAAGTGCATGAGAGTGTTTCGTTTGCTTCATACGCCCCATTCCCGGACAGTGATATCGCGTTGCCGTTCAGCATGGGACTGTCAAACAAGGTAAATGCGTCCAGGGCCCAGTTCCAATACCTACGGGGTTTAGTGATATCCATAGTCAGAACCTTTGGCTAGACAACTCACGGTAGGCTGCCTGTGTATCCACATTCCTCACGCAGGGTTGCTTCCCAGAGGAAGATAAAGTGGCGATGCCAAGGGAGCAGAAGACCGTTTTGGTGAATCCGGGTTGTGTAATTGATATGAGTGCTGCGTGTATCAGCTATAGTAATTAATGGGCCATTGGGTGTCCACGTACGCAACAAAATCGTCTAATCGGTCTCGGACTCCGGGGAATTTTTCGTTGGGTAGGGAAGGTGAACGTTCACGCAAGCAATATATCGCATTGATATACTCTGTCCGTTCAGTAACGGCTAATTCTCTCCTGCCACATATTGGATCTGGGAATATCTAGATGACAATGGTGGAACATACCATTCTTTCCTTATAACCAGCTTTTCTGCACTGCATCGTCCTGCGGTTGTTGAGGTAATGCAGGCGATGGCCAGAATAATGAGCAAGCTAATGAACGACATAACTCTAGCTCCACAGGTACTGTCGGTTGAGAATGAAGTATTAGAATTACTGGTATGAGATGATTAATGTATATTCGAACTGGGGGCCAGAGACCAGTCTTTCTATTTCAAATGCTATATGTATGTATGTCTGAAATGAGTTCTGGTTTGAGTTATATTGCGCGTTGAAGCGGGATGTATTTGTGTCACAGTACGATGCCACCCCTCTGACCCGTGGATTACAGGTGATATATATATCTTTTAGCCGGTTCTGGGTTGCTTCTGAGTAATTATTCTTTACACGATATCTCCGTCAATGTGGTCTTTTCTGGACGCATTGTGCCCTTGAACCTTGTGGTCCCAGTAAGCTGACCAGTGGCTCATACCCAGAGCCGGTGTATCTGAGGATGACCCGCTTTGAAAATATATTTAACGGAAACAACAGCAAGCTCCGAGCAACGGGCGGGCTACAGGATCCAAGTGGCTTGATTTCAATCATGACTGGACTCCCCTTCCCGGGCTCAGACGCATTTGGAATTGCAGGAGTGTAGTAACTCAGGTTGTGTGACAAGGGAAAATAATCCCCAAGACAGATTATTGATATTAACTCCACTACGCTTTATATAGAAAAACGAGGCGCACTGGTTGTTTCGGAACCTAGTTTTACCTTGAAATGGGGACCCTGTTTCTGGAGACTAATATGCAGCATTCGCCTACGTTTGCCTTTCTGAGGTATATACGAGGTGCCAAAGGCAGACATGACCCTTGCTTACGTTGTTACGAGGTTCATGGGCGAGGCTCAGCACATGACCTCGTGACGTTCTCAGTTGTTAGGGCTGACCTTTGGATATTCTCCATTGCTCATATCAGTGAATAGCAAAGCAAGGCTGTGCTTTCTTTGTTTCCATATATTACTGTAGGATATGGGTTACTTGACATCTGAGCGGTGTCTTGTGTACCTCGAGTTGGTTTTCAAGTGGGGATGTTCGCTATAATAATTTTTGTATATGTCTTTATGCAAGGGGAAGCTGGGTTAACAACTTGGAACATAATAGCAAATGCAATTGGCTTATAGTAATGATCTATATTTTAGGGTCTCCAAGCTACCAGTCATATAACAGATACTCTCTTTATCTGGGCTGGTCAAACCCGTGTCCGTCCACTTATAAAGTGGATATCAGGGATCCGGCATTCCGCACTGTTACACTACTGCCAACCCCTCACCTGCGAATCTCGTGTTTGATTCAGTGTTACGTGATATTCTTTGGCCGGCCCAAATGCAATGGTATGGTTCGTTGATAAAACGCTGTTCTATTCCAGGGGAGCCTGATATTTCCAGCCTCCCGGTTCCCATGAACCGAGTCCCTCGGGAGATACGCTAAGCCGATATTGGCCAGCCACTATTGGATAGCTGGGTGATACGAAACCATCTCAAGCGTTGCCAATGCCAGTTTGTGGTTGACCCCGGTGTTCTGTGCAAGGGGGTATATGACACCAATTTGTTCAAGGGCTTCGTGACACTGACAGAAGATGTGTGGAGAAAGAGAGCGGCTGACCCTTAGAAACACAAGCTACCTTAAGAATCCCGCCACAGCAAATACTAGTATCTGCTTCTCTGGTCCAGCCATAGAAGGGGTGTCTCTCTGTGATGAAGGCAGCCATACATCACACATATGACTGCATTTCTACTGAGGCGGCGCTTCCTCCTCCCCCATCATCCAACATCACATGAAAATAGTAACATTGCAATTAAAATATATGATATTCTAGTCTATGTAATCAACTTTCTACGATGTATTCCCTGCTTAACCACTAGTAGTGAGGATTATCCTCATTCTGTTCAAAATGCTCCCTCGCCCACGGACTCCTCAACCGGATAGCCCTCCCCATGTAGAAGAAGATGAAAGGAATAGGCACCAACAAGATAGCTAAAAGGCCTAGCAAGCTGGACGCCCACTCATAGCCCCAGCGCTCATACATCTGCGCCGCGAGCAAAGGAGATTCAGCGCCAACCAAATTCCTCGCAAGGATCACGCCCGCTAGAGCCGACGCGGAATAAGTCTGATAGCTGTCCACGACATTAGTTGAGGATACTCAATATGATGACGTATATACCGGCGCCAAAAGATGCCCAGGCAATGATGGGCACGATCAAGTGGACGGACAGGTAGCTTGTCTAGCCAAACCAGAAAAGGCCGATCGGAATGAGGATCGCACCCAGTCGGGCCATCCACAGGCGTGCTTCTGGGGCACCCTTGCCCTCGTGCTCTTTGACTCGACGCAGGTAGTATCGTTCTTGCAGGGGATAGAAGCAGAATGCGATAGTCGGGCCGATGGCCATGCCGAGGAAGGCGAGACCCTGCTGGCCGACATTGAAGCCGTGGCCCTTCCTAGGACCGAAAACAAGGGGGGAGACCTCGTTGAAAAGGTAGACCAGACCGCAGAGGGAGCCGTTATAAAATGCAGAGAATGTCGTGATGGATTTGGTGGATACGAAGCAAAATAGACGAGTGAGGGTAATCTTAAACAGCTCATCTAACCCCTTTCGCCCGCTCGCACTGGCATCGGTGACTGTCTCAGCGGGTTTCAGATTCTCTTTCCGCCTCAATTTCCGCACTCTCTTGGCCTTCCACTTGCAGAATGATTATGTGTCGGGTTTCAGGTGCTGTGAGAACAAGTAGAACACACTACCTGCCGGTAATAGCTATCATGATCTAGAAGATCTACCACTAACTGAGGTCGAGGGCCTTATACCCACTGACTACGAGTGCCATCGGTGGTCCGAAGGTGCTGCTCAGGCCATAGATAGCCATTGGCCCACCACTCGTGTTCCTCTCCCATAGATCACTGATTGATCTGCCAGTGTTGGTCAACGGAGCCCCGCCTGCAAAACCGGCGAGAAATCGGCACACGATGATAGTCCCAATATTCGGTGCGAGCGCCATCAGAAGCTGAAAGCTGAATCGGAGGAACCACGATACGACATACACAGGCTGGCGGCCAAAATACTCGGATAGAGGGGCGAGTAGGGCAGGACCGACAGCATAACGTAGCCCATAAAGCGATAGGCATAATGTAGTGACCTCCGCAGATACCCCAAATTCCGACTGGATAGCCGGCGTACCGGACGGTATACTACCTGTACACCACGCTCTAATGAATTCCAGTGCTGCACAGAGGCTGAGAGTGGGCGTTCAGAACATACGTGATGACATTGAGCATGCTCACCATGACGGTGATTTACCATTTTCGCCATTTTGGCCAACATCGTGGGTTTTCGCGATCGTTGTGCGAAAGGTTGTGCACAGTGGCAACGCCTCTTCTGGGCTATTTCTTGCTCGTGCGAATGCCTCCCCTTCCGTCACCGCCAGGGGCTGATTCTCATGGTATACATCCAATTTGTTCTTTTCCAGGGATGCGTCATGGCTAATATGGCTTTCCTCCGTGGTTGTCATGGCTTAGGAACTGGTAAGAAAGTGTGAAGGGTTTATATGTGAAGGAAAACTGGGGGGAACCGGTCTAAACCATTTTTGGGCGCGTGTATTAGTCAAACGGGTCGTGACGTGGGTTTGAAGATGCATGGATTTGAAGTCATGTATCCCCACCAGAGACCTCCAATGAGACGGCATGCTGTATCCACGAATAGCCTCGGCCACCCATATTTTGGACATGGCCCCGGTGAGACGAAGCCTTCACCCAAGCTTTTTAGTGCAGCGCTTGGATACCGTAGTCTTTCTGGCCCATAGCATTCCTGACAAGCAGTAGTTCCTATTGTATAATCCCAGTGGCCCTTCACAAACCGGGTTACTGTTGTAGAGGGGGTAATAGAGTTGTCGGTTTTATATCGAGGCTGTACAGGTGTACCTATTCTGTCGATTGAAGCTCTACAGTTTCCGGACCAGTGGAATTGGTCTACAGTGCTTAATTATGGATAGAGAAAGGACTATAAGAGCATAATTGATCTGAGGTATCTTAGCAATGCACTTACTATACGGAAAAGATATACGTAAGCAAACTTGCCATATCTGGAGCCTGTTCTGGATATCCAGGGGCGGAGAATGTGTGGTGAGGTGGATTCGCAACTCAAAGGCAGGATCAACATCACTGACACGGTTACGCGTGAGAAACATGACGCCTCGCCAGTATTCAAGCTGTCTAGCAAAGACTGAGAGAGAACAGAATTAGCACCTAGCCACTTCAGTGGCTATGCGACAAAGTTCCTGAAGACAAGCCGTTGACGGCTGATATCAGGACCCGAACGAGCGCCGGGAAACCCGTCGCACTCGTCCAGTAATAGAATAGCATGATAGAACCCAGTCCTGTAGTGCTTGCACGCAACAAAGCTTGGTTCCTGTTTCTGAATGACGACATGGAATGTCCCTTGCCTTTACCTTAGATAATACCGTCAAACCCCTCGTGGATGCTCTTGGACGAACGCTCGAGCGATCTACTTTTTATATACACTTCCATTCCCGGGCAAAGAGAGCGCACAAATAATCAAAGGCAATCACCTTAATCATGGCCAGGTCCTTCATGGCCTCAATATGTGGCATAACCTGAGGCACCAGGACCTACATCAGGGACCCGCCGTGGCTGACGTCATACCCGGCCGATCCCGTCGCAGCCCTGAAAACAAGTTTAACGCCAGCCATCTTCATCATCTGGCGGCAGATCAACACGCAGACAAATATCAGATCGACAGATGATGAAATGGAATGGGATCATAAAGCATAGAAGATCTTCCATTCCACCCTCCTGGTAAACAGTTCTTTTCTTTTTATGCCAAGCCATATCCCAATCTTTTCTATATCCGATAGACTAGGCTTCTCATCAACCTCCCATTTCACTCCGTTTACTTTCTTTTCTTTTTTGCGTTATATATATTCATCACACTGCTGTGCTACCTCATTAGGGTAAACATCTGTTATGGCCGTGATTTGGGGCCTGGATCTCCACGAGATCCAATTCTACAAGTTCAAGGGGAAACATATGTTCAGTCGTGTCTATCACTTACGACGCACAAGGATGATTGTCTACCAACTGGCCATGATCTTCTGTGTATGCTCTGAGTCAGTAGGGACAGCAGCCCTATCAGGTACATACCTTGCGGAAACCCCTCCCGCAGCTAGGGCTTATCATACTGATCTCATCCATCCATAGACTATCTCGACCAACAAAGCAACATCCAGGGGCAACACCCAGGGGTCAAAGTCCACAACAACAGTTTCATCGGTGCAGCCTCGTACAATATATTCGTGGGAATCTCCGTGGCCACGATCTTCGGCGCGGCGTTTTTTTTCGACCTCTTCTGGCCCGACAGATATGAGAGTCCATCCGTCCGATTAGCGTGGAAAATATGCGCGGTGGTCGTCTCGATAATGATGCTGAGCTCTGCTCTTCTCATGACGGTATGCTCTGGGGACAGTACTTGCTGGTTAGGATTCTCAGGATACTCATAGAATTAATCAGGTCATCACTGCCATGTACAGTGCACGTATCACCGGCACGGACGCCGCCTCCGCGAGAAAGTTCTGGTCGGAGGCCGAGAAGAAACCCGCCCTGGGTATGTTTCCTGTTCAGTTCAGGACGCTTGTATCCGATTTCTGACTCGAGTGCGGCTAACAACCATTTTAGAATACAGAACTAATCCCAAGGCAGTTGCCTCGGCTGTTCTAGCGTGGCCCGGCTGGGTCGCGACTACTGTTAGGTATGTTCTTCTTAAACAGATGCGGTCTACAAGCGCATCTATACTGATCATTATTATAGTACTGTTGTCCTTTTCATGTCCAAAAAGCATGACGATCAGTACGGTGCCAAGTCTAAATATGGTCGAACCCTGGAGAACGGGGGGGATACCCCGGAAACAGAGGCCAAACCTATTACAACGTAATGCTCACTTTATGTACAATATGTTTTAGATTCGACGTGTATAACTTGTATATATGCTCCTAATGAATCCGGCGTTCGAACCGACCATCCATCCATTCTTTGGGCTACTTGAAGAAGCTCCCGAAGCAAACCGAAGTATGTTTACTTGGCTCGAATCATAGATCGATCTTGGTGAAAAGTGAAGGGGATAACAGGAACTGGACCTGGTTTGTCCATCGGCCCGCCTCACGATGCGACTCCGCAGACCGTAAAGCCTTGTCAGACCTGAAGGAGCTATATAATATAGAGAGCCTCAGAGTCTGCAACGCCACGGCGCCAAACCAAAATACCACCCCTCACACTACAGGGAAATGCCTCTTGAACCAGGAAATAACTTCAATCTAACCTAAATTACGTGGTATGCACAGTGAAGCCAAGGTTGCGAAGAATAGTCATGCTACTACGTACATAATTACGTGACGACACGGTTTACTCAGTACGTACATGTACAGCACATTTGTCAAGATGCAAACGAGGTTATAATTCAACCATATAGTATCTGCAGCAATGGGAAGTCTGATACCAATTAAAAATCCTCCAGTCTGGTGTGAACCTTAACTCCGTTGATGCCTTTCAGTTGTTCGACAGCCGCCTTCTCAAGTTCCCTAGTACATCAGTTAGTTGTTTTTGTTTTCCTCTCTCCTCTTTCCGTGGATCACAGTATATACGGTAAAAGCGTGATAGGAGGGGAAGTATCCGGTAATTGAATGTGAGATTCTGGGGGGTATCCAGCTTTCTCTAGGATGCTGCAATTATTAGCATGGTGCAGTATTGAACGTATAAGTTATAGATAGAATTACTCCTTGACTTTATTATCCTGTTGGACGAATGCCATGCTATCTTCAAACCCGACGAAGAACTATCAACATTGCATTAGCCATACCTTCTCAACCCTTGGTGTATCAGTGTTCTCCTGGTCACATACCGGCATATTGATTTGATGTTTAGATTTTGTAGGGGATGGTTGAGAAATGGTTAGTATCACAGCTGGAAGAGGATAGAAGGGCCTATTTATAATTGAGAGCGATGGGGTAGATTGCTAATAATATCAGATCCGACACCCGGCTTTTTTTCAGCTACAATGGTGGGGTGCAAAAGAATACCGCCGATCCCTGTGCGCGAGTTGGTACACCGCTTCCTTCTGCGATTTTGCTAGCCGTATACATAATATCATAGGGCCAGTGGGCTTGATCAGCTCCCCGCTCACGATCTAGAAGCGAACCCCTCCATACGTGTTTCAGCCGTGGCTGAGCTGAGCCTGCTGGGGAGCCTGCCAGTCCAAGCTGGTGCTAATGCCCATCGTCTCTGTATAATGATCTGATTGGAAATGATCTCCTTCAGCTCTTGGCATTATCACGGCACGCCCAATAAAGTATGGAAACGAAGGGGTCTCACACCACACAGTTGATACAAGTGCTACAACCAACCGATCGAGAATGGATCAGAAAGTAAGAATATTCGAATACGGAACCAATAGCAGCAATTAAGAATGGCGCAATGGAAACCCGAGGAACATTGACTTGGGAATTTTGCTATCTCTCTTTTCCCCAATACCTTTGACTATCCTCCACCACCTTGGCTTCCCACCCACTCACAGGCCCAATAACTTCCACTTCCGTCTGGCCACGGGCAAACACGGTTCGACATGGCAAATCCAGTGTGAGGTTCTCGGTGTTCCCCTCCCCGATGAGTCTTGGAGCGTTTTCTCCGACGCCAGATACACCAGCCGTCCAATGTTCGCCCAGTACATCGTGCCGGCGCACATCGCGCAAGGCTCCCAGGTGGAGACGAGAGTCGTTTTGGCCAGATACTCGCGCGCGTAATTATCGGCCGCGTTGCGGGCTAGTTCCGTCTCGGCGTGTCGGACGTGCGATAGCGACAGGGAAGACATGAGAACGGTGGTGTTATCCGGTGCCAGAAGCAAGGCGGCAAACGGTCGTTTCGAGTGGATGTCTTGGGCGGTTCTCTGCAGCTCCAGACATGCGCCGGCGGCTGCGGATAATTGTTCGTCGGTCAGGGGAGACATTTGGTGATGGGAAGTTGTCGGTCCTTGGTTGAAACCTGGGAGCATCGAAGAGAGGTCATTTAGAGATCTATGAGAACAACCTGGATGGGTCATGATTTTAAAGTCATTGATAACGGCGACTTCCGAGATCTTCTCCGCACGAAGTGCCGGGATTGCCCGTACAGATATCGACGGGCCCAATAATCATACTTGGATGCCATTATCAGTTCTCCTTCTACCATGATGGAGCCAATTATTCATTCCTTGTCGACTATAAAGCCTTGGCCAGTTTTTTTTTTTTTTTTTGGCTACTACCCTGTGTCTGCATCACGGCTTCTAGTAACTTGGAAGACGATCCAGTTTCTAAGGATTTAGGAGAAACCCTCTCTCTTCCACACGGTCGTTCTTTGGCTTCAAAGACCGTTGCATACCTGCAGAAGATTCATCTCCAGAACAAGCTGCTCCTCTCTTATCCATATGCCTCCCCATGTATCACAAATGAAGCCCGGTTTATATGAGGCCATGGTATCACACGGTAAATCGAACATCGCCTTTTCCAACCCTGCCTGCAGATATAAATCCTGTTATCCCAACACATGCATTCCCCAAGCAATACCTCCTGTATGTATACAGAAGGGAATATCCCCAATCCACAGCCCAATCCACATAGCTGCCCGCGCCAACTAGCACCAACAACCATACAATTAGCAATACCAGATTCAAAGGCCAAACTCACTCGTCCTCGACGTAACACAGCACAGCATCTAACAGCAATGTATCCCAAGGGTGCCACATAATACACCGAGCCGGCTCATTTCCATGGGATCTATAAATCACCTACAACAACCACATCCAAAGACACAACAACCCCATCACACCAAACCTACCCTCACCTGATAAGCCAGATAAGAATTGCAAAATGTACCTCCTTCAACCTCTGCTCACCTTCCTCCTCCTAACCCTAGCAACCTGCACTGCAGTGCCAACTCCTCTCACCCGCGACGCAACAGCAGTAATAAATGACCTCAACAAGATAACCACCGACCTCTCTGCCCTCACACAAAGCATAGTAGCCTACACCGGCGGCATCCCCGCCGCACTAGATATCCAGGTGAAAGAAATGGCCGTAGAAAGTGACCTCGAGCAGGCGACGAGGGACACCATCGCTGCTGCGCCGTTCACAGTCAGTGAGAGCGCTACCACGACGCGAGCTTTGTTGGGGTTGGAGCCGGATATTAGGACTGCGCTTGTGACGCTGGTTCAGAAGGTATCTTCTTTCCCCTTTCTTATTGTCTGTGTTGTGGTGGGGTGCCATGAGGGGGCGGTGCTGATATGGCTTTAGAAACCTCTTGTCGATGAGGCGAGAATAGGTGCAATCGTGAGAATGAATCTAGTGAACCTCAGGGCCAAGACTGGTTCTCTCTCCACGGCACTGCAGAATAAGGCGACAGCGGTAGATAAGGATACGCTTGCTAGTAAGACGACGGAGTTGAATTCCGGGTTTGACACTGCCATTAGAGTCTATTCTTAGGTGTGAGTCTGGTGTTGGGTTGAGTCTGGTGGTTGACGTTGGCTGTGGAGTACTGTTGGCTTGTTTCGTCAATGCTTTACTTCTGAGCTTCGTTTTCATACAGGAACCCATTCAATCGATCTGTTTTTATATATAAATACATCCCCAAGAACCGGAAATCGGGAAACACATACGTATACAAACCACAGATTCGAACGCCAAACCAACCAAACCCACGCCATCCCACATGAATCCCTCTATCATAACTCACAACCTACAACCTCCACACCTCCACCACCCAGTAAGATAAATCCCCAGCAAGCCTAATCAACCCGTCTTAAAATTCACCGGCCCAGCCCACGCCCTCATGCCCTTCCCCTTAACCTGCAGCAGCAAGACAATCAAAAACGCCCCGAGCACAATGCCGGCCATCGTGCCAAACTGCCTCCTAGCACCCTGTTTATTCGCCCACTCGACCATAAAATAACTCACAATGAACCCACCCGTCGTGCGTCCAAAATTCACCCACGCAGCAACCTCCCCACTGGCCTCCGGGTAACTATCGAGGACGTAGGCATTAATGGCGACGGTGACGATCATGACGCCGAAGACATAGAACCCCCATCCCAGCGCTGTCAGCATGTAGTGGTATGCACCTTCCAGGGCGAAGCCGAGGAGGATGATCCCGGCGAGGATGAAGGGCGTTGCGAACCAGATGGCGAGGAGGCGGGCTTCGGGCTCTAGACGGCCTTTGTTGTGTTGTGTAGCGAGCTTGGCGAGGTAGTCGTGGAGCCAGTGGCCGGTTAGTTCGCCCAGGATGGCGGCTACGACTGGGGTAAAGTAGAAGAATCCTTGTTTTGTCAGTGTGTTTGTCGGTAAATTTTTGAAAGGGGAAGGTGTATGTATGTAGGTAGGTAGGTAGGTAGGTAGGTAGGTAGGTAGGTAGGTACATACCGATTTGCTTAGGACCGAAGCCGTATAACGGGCCTACGAAGATGGAGAGCGTCGTGTTGACGCCTACCACCCAGGCGAAGGTAAGCATATAGTAAATTGTGGATAGGAGGACGACTGGCTTCATGATTACAGTGATTGGGCGCATGAGTGCGTCCTTGGGGGTGTTAATGATGTATCCGCTGCGCCGTTGCTGGAGGCCCAGCATCCGTTTCCATCGTGGGGCGTCGGGGATGAGGTCTGGCTGGGTGTTTTTGCGATCATAGTACGTTTCCTCGACGCAGAGAATGATTGCGATTAGACAGAGGCCGGTTTCGATGCTGTATAGACCGAAAGCCCATTGCCAGACCTGGGTGTTTGTGATGAAGGCCGCGAACATCGGGCCCAGGTAGGGCGAGAGGATGATGGACCCAGACCAAATGTTGATTTTGCGGGCCTGTTCATGCAGAAAGAACATGTCTTTGATGAACATGAGGCCGCCCTGCCAGAGTTAGGGTTCGTATGCAGACAAAGAGGGTCTTGGCCACGTACGCCTTGTGCAACCGTCGAGAACAGCCCATTGAGAATCCGGGCCGCCTGAACTGGTCAGAATCCATTGCTAGAACTTTCAAGATGCACATACCATGAATGACTCGAAGGATTGCGCGGCGGCGCACCAGATTGCAGTGGCAAGTGCCAGCAGCACAAAATAAAACAGCACCGGGAGACGACCGAAGTAGGCGGACAGAGCGACCACGACGGGGCCGCCAACACCCAGCATAAAGATATTTCCAGCCTGCGAATGGTTGACATGATCCTCTGTCATATTCCATTGTCTAGCATCGGTCTCAGTTAGCATTCCTGGTCCGTATGCCAATACTCAGGTTCGTACTTAGCCTGCTGGAGCAGCGTCACCGCACCCGTAGCACTTCCATAGTCCGGCAGAAACGCAGTGGCCGAAATAACAAAAAGGATAAGATTTTTCTTGAACGGCGACCAATTGAGTGGATCGTGAGGGAAGTTCATGGGCTGTGGTATCAGCACGGTCCGGCCATCATCAGTGGTTTTTAGGTTCTGATTCTGGGTACGCGACGTGTAAAGCATGTATCCTTCGCGCTCCCCTATCTCCTCCAGATCGATCACCGGCCGGTCCTTCTCGGCCTCTGAAGCTCTTGGCGAAGAGTGTCTAACGTCCATTGCGCTGTCTCCGAGGTACGGTTCTCACAACTATCGAGACAATGACCCACGAGCTGGGAGGGGAAAGTAATGAGAAGAAAATGTGGCAGGCGATCTTGCAGATCAGAAGTCTTTAGTTATGTATTGATTTCTTGCAGTGAACACCCTCCCTGTGACACGAAAGTCAACATAGTTGGACAGAGGGCCGAGGATCACTATGCCAAGTTCCTCCTGCTTCTCGTTTCCGGCCTGGGCGCGGTATGACAAGTTTACGGCAAACCAACGCAGCACGATGAAAGACTTGAAACCTCGAGGGCGTAATCTGAACTAACCCAAGGGTCGGAAGTTGGGGTTGGGCTGGAAGTTTAACACGCTCCAGTGCCAGTCAAACAATGGCAATTCCGAGGGTTGACCAGAAAAGCTGGAGGCTGAAGGCTATCGGCAGGGATCTCATCGTTGCTTCCACGGTTCAGTCGCCGAGCTTAAAGTTCAGTAAAAATCACAGATATTAGAGAACATTCCCAGACTATCTGCCGCTCGCAACGATAACGGGCTTACATGCTCGCATATAGGTTGGATTAGATGCAGGAGTGTGGCATAGCCAAGATATCCAAACGGTTCTACAGCATCTTAAATCCAGAGGCCGTAAGCACAGTCTCATTCTAAATAAACAAATCAGAATCAAGGACACAATTTCCAGTTAGCAACCCAGTAACATAAGGTAACCCAATCCTCCGAACATGACAAATACATGAGCCAATGAAAAATCCTACGAGATTAGTTACTAGAAAATTCTGAAGCCAAGCGACGCACAGAGGCTCGTACCTACGATCCCGGCTGAGTGGCATCCACGTCAGACTGGATATGGATCTCTGTCGTCTTCATTATCCCACGGCCCGCCTCCTCGTCCATGATAGGGTCCACGCTATCACCATCACCCTTGTCTCTCCGCGCGGTAGCCCAAGCATCCCCGTATGTACCGAGGGCGTAATCCAGACTACGACCACCAAACTGTCCATATGCGTGGCCGCGCCCATACTGGCTACCGGGGTGAGTTCTGGCGTGAGTAGTGTTTCTTTTAGAAGAGCATTTGTGTATCAAAATGTTGAATAAGGGGGTCATGGTAGGGATGCATGCGGCGAGAATAATTAGGTATTGTTCGATGGCTGTCCATATGGCAAGTTCCACCGTGTCCCACGGAAAATCGGCTCGTTCGGTCAGAGAGGCGAGGTTGATGGTCTTGACGATCGCAGCAGCCATGGCGCTACTTGGTCAGATTGTGGTGCGTCTGACATAGACATGGATACTTACATGATTCCCAGCGAAAGCACGCAACTCAACCCAATCTTGATTTTACGGGCCATCTGCAGCCCGGCAATGGTCCTTAGCGGATAGATGGCGAGCAAGAAGTCCGAGAACGCGGAGGCCGCTATATGATCAGTAACATGGCAAATCAGGAAAGCCAGTACATACATCCTTGGAAGAAAGCATAGTTCTTCTGCACTGTCGGCGGCCAGCACGACCCTTCAACAGTATAATCCCAAAGTCTCCGGGCGGGTGTACACTGGCCGTACATGGTGTATATAGATACCATATTGATGATGGTGAGGAGACTGATGCTCCCATAGATGGCGATTTGGTGATGCTTGACCTTCCGCATAATCCGTAGCAGAAACAGCGCAACAGATATTTTACCCCAGTTCGTCGAAAAGACATGGAATCCCTGCGACATCCAGTTAAACTTGGCGGACAGGATGCGCTGTGTATCAGTGAGATCCACGGTATGTCGTCCGGTGCCATAATGCACACTGAGGGTCGTCAGAATGCTTTCGGCAGTCGCGCTGGCCTACCACTGTCAGAGGCAGCCCATTCATAATCATTGGCAGTCCTACCATAGCCAGCACAATAAACCCATCGTCCCAGCCTAGAGGTCGAATGATACGGACACGAATCCAGATCCGCAGTCCGACTAGGACGGTACACACGCCGAACAGTGGCCACGAAGCGACCTTGATCACCCATTGCCGACTCTCGCCACTACTTGGGGATGCCGTCTCGCCCATCGCCGGTTGAGACCAGATATTTGGAATTGCAATAGAGACTGACGCCGTGCAGGGAGCTCCATGCCTAGCGCTGACAGGGGCTTGCCACTGCGTTGACTTATAAAAGTCCAATTGCCGACTGTGTACTGTGCTACCTCTCTCGCGTATTAAGTATTGGTAGCTCAGCAAAATGAGTCTGAAAAGCCTTTGTTCCATTTACTAGGTCTAGACCAGAATCCAACTTCTCTCGCCAAGCGACCGCAACAGAGAATGGCTGAGTGAGATTGGTCCACGTGCCTTAGGGCACGGGAGGGATATAGAATGAACAGTAGGATTGGACCTACAAAGTGGCGGTAAAAGGCGTCTCGATTCTAGTGCAGTTGTACAGGCAGGGAATCTTGTTCCTTTCAGCTGTCGCATATAATGGACGAATGTGCCACTCCAGGTTCCAGCACCGTTACACTAATTTCACGTCGCGTAGAAAGCGGCTTGTTCGAATAAAGAAAAAGGAAACCTCGTACACAGCAATCAATCTCCCTGCTGAGAATCTTTTGTCTTGGAATGATCCCCTGCCGTGGTCGTATTCAAACAGATCGAAAGTCATAGCATGGCCTGTCAGATTAATCGACAAGGATCGGATCTGACTCTCCATCTGCAGCTACCCGGCGGCATGTCAATTAATATCCACCCAGATTGTTCTCTCTACAGAATTCAGGGTTTCAATATTCTCTGAGTATCCGACAGTTTGCCTTCAGCAGATAGAGATAGAACGTGTGATTATGTTAGGTTTACAGCGCATATGGCGTACTGCCAGAACAGAACATGATCGCTGTGATGGATACGTAGATAACTTAGCAAGACCAAAGGAGACCTACCGATTTGAGGAGCAGTTGCGCCGGGCCTATAAAAGATACTGGAGGTATAATGGACTGAATACAGAGTCTTATTTCTAAATATGTAGCAACTAAATGAACAAACAAGATAACAATTTATAGAACTCAGCGCAATGACTGTGCACCCATCACAGCGCCAGAATCTTTTCAGCTGCATGCTCGGCGACCGTGACAATGTAAGCCGAAGGATTGGCCGTGATCATGCCCGGGAAGATACTGGCATCCACAACGAACAGGTTATCAGTTCCATAGACCTTGGTGTTGAGATCAACAACAGCGCTGCCTCCGGTGCGGCCATCATCTGTACCAATTTTACAGGTTCCTAACACAATCAGCGACAGTATTTTAATGAGGTAGGTGCGCAACTCACCCATCCAGTGGTTAGCCCGGCGCGTTCCAGCAGTGATTGGCATCTATCTATGTCAGTTACGTTGAACACCCTTCTAGGATCCACCACTCACAGTCTTGACAAACTCAGCGATGGTAGTATTCTGAGCCGGATAGTTCCAGGTAAGTCCCGTTCCGTTCAGGGCCCTCTTCAGGTTCTGGATTCCCTGGATCACGGCGTTGACATCGCTCTCGTCGCGTAGGAATGGCAACGTCGAGACCACCGTGTCCAGTCCCGCGGTGATGGTCATGCGGCCGCGCGAGGTTGAGCCGCGGCCAAGGTATTGGCTGATGGTCATCGCGTCTACCGCACCATTAATATCCTGCATTAATCTTTCACATAAGAGTCAACGTACGTCCGTCAGGCGTATCATGGCCGCCTTCCACCCGAGCAGTCCACTGTATCTGTCGTTTGATGCCATCAGAGCCGGTGACCTCGTCGAAAATTCTACACACGTTAGTATCATGACGGTTTTGATAGGCGGGCGGCTCACATTGGACCAATGTTGGGCGCAGCCTGGGCGAAAATCCCGGTGCGATCGTCTATGATTGTTAGCGCCGGGCGATTCGTCCGAGCACGATTACATACTTAGATAGCTCGTCGCATCGCTCTGGATAGGGGTCTTATATGCCGCTTTGAAGTCATAGTTAACAACATCAGGGTGGGTCACCACAACATCAGTCTGTTTGCATCATGTTAGTATGGTAGCAACCTCCCCCGATACACTTGACACTCACATTGACATGATCGACCAAGTTCTCACCGACCGGAAGTTCGATCCACTCCGATTCGGCGATCATCGTCTCCCCATCATTGGAGTTCTTCACGATGGACAGCTGATCGTTCGGCCCGATACCACCTATACACCATTAGCATTTACTCCTTAGCAAGATCACCAACATAACGTACTTCGCATAAGAACCTTGGGCGTTCCGAAAGTTCCCGCAGACAGAATGACACGACCCGTATTAGCAGTCACATTGACGGTACCTGCATAACCACCATCGAGGGTTGCCTCGACCTCGACTCCGGTGATACGTCCGCCCTCACGAACCACTCTCTTAACGGTCGTGTTTGACCAGCGGGCAAAATTATCCCTCTCGCTTGCCGATACCAGATACGTCCCCATGGGCCCTCCGCGCTCACCTCCAGAGAACATGAACGGTGCGTGACCAAAGGTCTTGGTTTTCTGGGCCGGGACGTCGTTGAGGGTAACAGAAGACCATCCTGCGGACTGCAGGCCGTTCTCCAGTATTTCGGCCCCTTGCTGGAGATAAAGCTTTCCATCGGTGGAGGGGGTTGTGGTTCCGGGGATTCGCGAGAACACGCGGTCCGCGGCAGCCTGCATGTCGGACGACTGCCATCCCTCGGGAAAGTTGTAATCCCAGTCAACGGGGTTTGGCTGGAGATTATCAGCGATGGATTCACACGGGGCATCTGACCACGACTTACCCTCCACCACAATCCCGCGTTGACGGCGGTGCCTCCACCCAGCACACAACCCGCCATCTGGTCGGTATCACTACAGGCGATACCGTTGGAATCGACCCAGATCTGGTTGCAGAGCCCAGGAACATCAAACCGCGTCAGATTGGTATCATCCAACCAGCCGGGCTTCATGGTGCCACCCCAGCGGCCAGAGGAGGGAGGACCCTTCTCTATCAGGAGAACGCTGTGTCCAGCCTCACTGAGCCGATCGGCGACAGGGATACCTCCTGCACCTCCACCGACGACGATATAGTCGTAGGTAACACCATCAGGTACAGGGACAGGAGTCGGCTCGTTGCCTCCACCACCTTCACCAGAACACTCCCCGGGAACAGTCTTGTTAGCCAACTTGACCCAGTCCTCGTAGGACTCACTGGCTGCATTCTCATCCAGAGTGGCCGAGATAATACCCTGGTTGTCGTGTTGCACCAGGCTGATATTATCCGGACAGGACGGGTTCGACGGACTTTCCGTCGCCTGCGCCCATCCCAGGACTAACCGACCTTTGCTTGTGGTCGCGTTCCCGGTTTGACCATCTTGGTCCCAGGTCAGGCAATTCTCACAACGGAACAGCAACGTAAAATGAGTAGCATTGATGCTCGAGGAAATCTGGGTGACATTGGCGTCGCCGGTATAGACGCCGGGCATGCTGTACCCCGAGCCGAATCGCAGGGAGGTCAAGACAGTGTCCTCGTACGGATAGGCCAAGAACAGGAGGTTGTTGTTCATGCCACCACCCAAGGAAACACCACACCAGCCAGCGGACGAGGCATTTTGGGACGCGCATTGCTTGGAACATCAGTACGTTTAGCGCCACCTCGAAGCGGTCATGGGGAGCTAGATATCCTCACCAGATAACCGATGAACTCCGTCGCATCGGTGGTCAACGCCGATCCCGGCAGGGCTACACCGAAGACGAGACCACCCGTACCTGTACCAGCAGGTACCGTCCACGTGTCAAACGTGATGCCGGTCTCAGAATCCGTGTAGGCAACCGGTGTGCCGGACTGGGCCCAACATGACTGCAACACTACCAAAGGGTCAGACGCAGCGAAACAGTATTGGGTCGGTAGTCCACTACTCACCAGTGCTCGCTGAAAGGAATGAAGCGAGCAAACGGTTAACGAGCTTCATGATGAGAATTGCCCAAGGGGTAGGCTCCGAAGACGAACGACAGCACTTTACACCAGCGGGGTCGAGTCCTAGATATACGATCGTGCCCACGGACGACACCAGGAAGAATGCCCCGATACAGATGGCTCGACACCCGGCCCGAGGATCCATATTGCAGGGACATTGCCGGGCTCAGTAGTATCGTAGCTGATACTGTAGCGCGTCTTGGCTTGATGGCGTTCTTCCATAGTGACTGGACAACGCAAGGGATGCACCTATCGGACCTGTGGAATGCTCTCCACCAAAAGGGTGCACGCCGCATGAATGCCTGCTGAGATGGTAGAATCGAGAACATTCAGCCGTGATCCGATATTAATTGCCTATTGCCATCACATGAGAAGCACCGCACTGGTGTTGCGGATAAATAGGGTTATCATAGCTGACGCCAGGAGACGGCGACCAGACGCCGTTTCGCGACCGACACGGACTTGGCATGAAACAAAAAGGATGAGACATCACATAGGGTGTGCTGCTGGAGCAATTAAACTGCAGACATTATTAATGAAAGGGTATAGCTTCAGAAGGATCGGCGACTATATCAGCCATAGATAAGCGCCGGCAGTCATGGGGGCCGTGGCAGATAGATTGCACCCCCCTCCGGTCCGGAAAATCTTGGCCTGCAGAATCCATCGTCAGAAGGGCGATGAAGAACAGAAATGCCGACGAGTCTCGGAATATTCCCACGACACCTACGGAGGAGCTAGGGGCGGGTAGCACAGCCCAATCTATAAAATACGTATACATCCTGGGAGCCATCATCATGCGTATCAATTGATTATTATCGACAAAGAATATCGTAGTCTATACACAAAACCCGGTAGATAGTGTACAGGGACTCTCTCCTCTAGAGAACAGTCCTGTCGGTCCGGAGAAAATTAACCGCCAAGGCCCATGGGTCCAAAGGGAGCGTGAGTCCCCCAGCAATCATGTGTGCTTGCCTTTCCGCGCGGGATATGGCGGGGTGGTGATGCGCCCGGAGGCCCATCTAGTCATATAATAAATGATAGGGAAGTTCGTGGGTGGACTTTCTAATCCCACTCTGACAAAAGCCTCGCTCACCGCTTGGAGTCCGAGTCATC